GCCAGCAGCAGCAGTAACAGCAGCAGCAGCTACAGAAATATGCTGCTGGAGGCAGTTCAGGCTACACTCAGGGTTGCGACTTCAGCGGCAGCACTGAGAAGCCAATAGATCGCATCCAACGCCAGTGCTCGCCCTGCTGCATTCACCGCTGCCTGGTGGTAGGAGGGGGGAAGAAGAAGCCCTGCCTTTCCATCACATTCTCAGTATTTGAGAACAGTCCGGTAGCTAAGCAACAGTGCCACCTTGTTCGAGAAGTAGTGATTGCAACACTCTGCTTCCCATATTAGGAATAGGGATAGAAATGTTCTGTCAAGTAAGAACAAAAACTTGAAGAGGTATTACAGTCTAATAGGGTTTTTGTTCACAGAAAAACAGATAAACTCTGAGAGATGTAGTTTATGTGACGAGTAAAATTAAAGAGTAAGTAGAAATACATTTTCTGAGAGATTAGATTACGAGTTTTTTTTTTGTTTTTTTCCCCCTAATAAATCACCCAGTGGTCATTTATTGATGAAGAATGATATTTTCCTTTTATAAAATAAATTTCTGAGAGATTAGATTACATGTTTTTCCCCCTAATAAATCATCCAGTGGTCATTTTTTGATGAAGAATGATATTTTCCTTTTATTGCCATGGTCCTTGATCAACCACTTCCTATAATCACTTTTCAAATTTCCTCCAACTTTGTTTTAAAAAGTTAGATTAAAAATTTTATATTTTAATATTTTATTATTTTATTATTTTCTTGTTTTGAACTATAATAATTATTTTAAAAAGTTAGATTAAAAAAATGTATATTTTAATATTTTACTATTTTCTTGTTTTGAACTATAATAATTTGGTTAATATTTAGAAGTGGGAAGCATTGGACATTGAGAGATTTTGCTATAATTTTACATTTTCCTAATTTCTATGGATAGTCATTGATTTTGCTATCATTTTACATTTTCCTAATTTCTATGGATTTCATTGGCTTAGGGACTTCCCTAATGTAGCCAATGACTTTCCAGCTCTGTAAAAAATTGCTCTGCACAACTATCAGCTTCAACAACTCTGTTTTGGACTTTTGGGGGAAAAAGAATCTTGTCACACTTGTCAACAGCTTAAACCCTTGATAGATGCAAAAATGTAGTTAAAACTTTAGCAGACAAGAGTACAAGACACGATGCAAGCAAAGAGGAGTGTCGTTTTTTTAGCTCAAGCGTTCCCCCTGAGCCACACTCTCCATCACAGTGTTGACTATGAACTAACGTTCATTTCAGCTCCAAAGCTCGAGCAGGAACACAAACAAACAAAAGCATGGAAAATAAGTGAATGCTGTTGAGCTCAGGAGACTCGACAACAGTCAGTGGCACTTCAACGGGTCTGTGTTTCAACACAAACACATTACAGACAAGTAACGAGGCCTCTGCTTTTCTCTGAATTTAATTGAACTGATTTTCATCTTCTTTTCTCTCTCACATGTAATTTGACATCATTCAGAAAACACTTTCAGACAAAAACACCAACAGAAACTGAGTGTTCTCACTCAAGCCATTAAAAACATCTTTACATCGCTGTTGCAAAGTAATTACCACATAAATCTGTCAACCAAACAGACAGTCCCAGATTTAGGCAATTCTTGTGAGGAAAACACAGAGGGCTCCAGAATTATGCAACTGAAACTCAACGTGTATTTCTCCCCAACATCCATTTATTGAGTCAAATCAGGGCCAAAATTTGGTTTAAGAGACACTTGAGTTGTTCCAAGCAGAAAGACAAACACAAGGGATTTATCAAACCAAAAATTACATCATCTGCCAAAAGTATTTGATTTGACACATTTCAATTCACAAATTCCCAGTCCTTATATTAATGATGACAGGGAGTCAGATCTACTAAGAAAAGAAAAATGTCACCACACTGCACAGAGCATTCAGGTGCATTCAAGTGGCACAAATGACTTCACATAACGGTGACAGGATAATCTCTACAAAAAGATTTGGAGAGCTCAGTCAGATTTGTTTTTGTCCCCGATCCTGCACATAAAGTTCTCCACTGTGGGACTGATAAGAGATCATCTCTTATCTTACCAGTCCCTGCCACAGCACTTCTGCTTTTTTTTTTAGGTAAATATAACTTGGGATTATCCGTTTGATTCCCCAGAATGATCAGGGAAAACACTGTCCTGTTATTGCCTAAATGTTTCCTGTATTAAAAAAAAATCCTCACTGTAGAGAACGCACATGTAACAACACAGTTTAAATCTGTGGTCAAAGAAGACTGTCTGGTTCATTCCAATGTTTTTAAGTTGTTTGTTTCTAATTATTATGGGTGTAAGAAAACATCGATACACTCCCAAGTATTGCAATATTTCATTTCACAATACCATATCAACATTCTATAGCACTGTTTTATTATAACATGCAAATTTTCACGGCGTTAGTTGTTTTTATTTATTTTTTTTTACATTCGTGATCTGTATTGTATCGCCAATTTCTTGCCAAAACACAGCAGTACTGCTGTACTGTACTGTAGTCAAGGTCGGAGAAAGATAATGAAAAACCATTTAATATTGTATACTATTAAATACTCTGTACAATGTGCATCTAATGAGCCGAGGTGCTGAGTCAGCTGTTGTGTTCCCTCTTCATGCCCAGCAGCACAGTGATTTTATGGCCTCAGTGTTAATGTGCGGGGAAAGAATTTAATTCGAGTTTTAGAAAAAGTCACACATCAGTAAAAATTCACTATATAGAATACATTTCTTCTGAAAGCTGGAATCAGAGATATATATAAAGTTACAACAAAACAGAATTTTTTAATTGTCTGATTTTTTCGAGAATCAAAGAGTAATTTAACCTCTGAGAATTAAAAGGACTTTTTTTTTTAAATAAAGTTTATTATCTCTTAATAGACTGCAACTACTGTATGTTACAATGAAAATAAAAACAGTATTTGGGGGAGTTCATGCGCCAAAAAGACATGCAAAAAAATATAATAATAAAATAAATAATAATAATAAAAATAATAAAATATGAGGTATTACCTGTCATGCAGTCCGATGGGCATCGTCTCTACTCTCTGTACAGGGTACTCCATACCCTTACCTTAAAAAAATATATACAAATATATCATATATATTTTTATGAGACATTGCATAGATTTAGTTTATTTCAATAAAATTAGATGGATAAACAAATAGTTCAAAAATGTTTCTACCATGATATTAACTTAAAAAAAAATGTGTGTAAGTGTGTGTGCACACGTGTGTTTGTGGGTCATTCACTCGACTGCCATGCTGACTGTGCTTAACAGCATAACTCAGGAGGTTAAGCACGGATTTGGGGATTTGAATTAGGAGATGTAGGAAACAGAAAAAAACAGGGAAAAAAGTTAAGACCTAGGCCATAACATAGATGTGTTTTTAAGACAAAATAAGTTGCTTTTAAATCTGATTTGCAATTATTTACATATAACTTAATAACTTCAAGGAACACTGTAATAGATTTAAACTCCACACTAGAAGGATTTCCCCTGGTGGAGGAGGAGGGGTAGGGGAAGGGGAGGGGGTCTCTTTATAATAGAAATGATGCTAAAAAGTGTGTCAACTCTCTGGTAGCCCAGGCGACCAGAGAGGTGGATTGCGAGTGGTTAGGTGTTTGCACATGTCATTCCTGAGAACTTATTTCCAGCTTGAATGTGAAAGTTGCGTCATATTCATATAATTAGTTGCTTTACTCAGAACTGGGCTAATGGGAGCTAAATATAAACTGGAGTGTCACTTGACAAAAGGAACCTTCTTGTGTGTCTGACAATGTGATAAAGTAATGTTGTTCATATTTGTTTTTTGATAAGAGTAATGTCAGGTATACTGCCTTCTCAGGAATACTGCCACTAAATAAAGGTTTAGTCCAAAGTCCTACCAAAGAAGAGGAGAAATATGGCACCTGTTCGGCAACTTATAAGAAAAGAAAAGAAAAGTTTATGGTCCACTGTTATAACTGGGACGTACAAGTTTGTCTTGTTGCAGATTTATTACACATTTATTTAAATTGGTGGACTACATATTCAGTTGGTATCTGATGCTCTGTCACCGTCAATGAGTTGCAAAAAATCCTCAAGATATTTACGTTTTTGATCTTTAACTGAACGAATTAAAAACACTGAGACAACTCTAACGGAAAAGGAATGAGCTTATATAAATATAAAGAATTATATAAAGAATTTGATAAATTAATTTTTAAAAATAAATAAAATTATTTTTTAAACTTTTTTTGTTGGGACTCAGATAACCTGTTTAAAGAAACAAACGTCTTTTTTTAAACTATTTTTGTTGGGATAACCTGTTTAAAGGAACAAAAGTCTTATAAGCAATGTCAAAACAAATATATATAATAAAATCAAGTGTTTGAAACTTGAGTGGGAAATTGCATTTATTATGGAGAATTAATTGTTTCTGAATCGGATCATCAACCCAAAATCCTGGATGAAATCCGATTATGGGATAATCATAATAAGAGGCTGTAGTGTTGAAAAACTTGGGACTTTCTATTGTTGCTTGTGTCATATGTTTAGTAGAAATCCTGGTGGTGAAAATGAACAGAAGCATGCGTTGTGCCATTAATATCAGTGGTAATACAGGGCGCTTTTGTATTTTTTTTTTTAATGTATCACAGTTCAACCAGACTAGCCTGGAGGTTTCTTTGAAATCTCAGAAAAAGTCCCAAGATTCCTTTTAAATCCCAGATCGATATGCTAAAAACACCACACTGTTGACGTTCGTCCCAACACTCCCAGGGTTTTTTTTTATGAAGCGACATGTTAGTGGAGAAACTTGAGTCCACGGTGAATAAGCTGACTTGTTAGCCAAAGCCTTTAGGCGTACGAACACAACTTAATGCTGTCCTTTTTACGCGGAAAACAACATGTGTATTGTCAGAGGGGTCAGCGCCGTTAGCCTCACGTTACCTTTGCTGTGTTTTCTATCCATGTTGTTTCAACACTTCCATTACATTCACACTGGCAGGAGGCTAAAGCTAACCAGCTAAGCTAATACAGTCAAACACAACATTAGATTGATTTAAATAAGGTTAGACGAGAAGAGTCGGTTATAATAAACTCATCAAGTTTGTTTTGGTTAACGATCAAGTGTCTACAGTGCTATTTTAATTACGGACAGTGCAAAGAACCGAACTCTTAACATGACTTAGTTGGTTGATAGTTGATAGTTAGTGGTTGGTCGATGTGCCACCATCAACAAATGACACTGTCAGTCCGCTATTTGTTCACCTTAACACACTATAAATGACAGCTTTCACTCTCTGTGAAAAATAATTCCCAATGTATAAACTTCGAAAAAAAGGTTCCATACCTTTAACACCGAAACAACGATAACTAGCGTCCTTGTTTTCTTTCCACAAGCCCTCAAATCCACTTATACCACTACAGCCTCCCTTCTACGTTTGATCCAATCAAGTTACCTCTTAGTAACAGGGGCTGAGCATCAGTACTTCTTATTGGTGAAAGAGTATGGCACGCTCTTCTCATTGGCTCAAAACTTCCGTTACTAAATAAAGTGGCTCTGAAGAAGAGTCCTCTTTCTTTAAAGCATTTGTAGCCTGAAATAAATAGCCTGCGTTGCTGTGCTGTTTATAAAACCATTGTCTGTGGTTATTAGCTGTAATCTACTACTGCAGTATTAGGGGAATATAAATGGTTTCTATTGTCAGCGTGAACATGAGGTGAAGGTGGTATAACTTCGGCACGTACTGCGGTACATGTAAAAAAAAAGAAAGTCCAAGCATTACATGTGTTTAATGTTCCATGGGGAGGATGTTGTTGTTTGTTGGTTGATTTTAAGTGTGGTTAAATAACTTTTTCCTTTCCTTAAACCCCGTTTTTTTACGAATTGTTTGTGTACGAATGATGCTGTATAAATAAACTACGTCTGCTCCATCATTTCCTGCGGTTTAAACATGAACACAGAATAAATCAAATCAGAACACCCTGTGCCCGGCTTCATTAAATGTTCTCATTATCTGTAATGTGGCTGATCAACTTAATAATTGTCTAATTGCTGCAGGTTTGTAACTTTATCTTTTTCCCACCCTTTAATTATTCATAACCAAACTGATTAAAATGTTCTCTGTCCCACTTCTTTACTTTCACACATAAATCATCTGGATAAACTGTGTTACTGATTTCTTTTACTTCCTCCTTACGAGTTTCTCACAGTCTTTGATTCACTTTAGTGCATCAATGGAAAGTCCATCATATTGACCTAATTCAAACAGGCTTGTAATTTGGATTGTTGTTTTTTTTTCTTCTGGAAGAAAACACGATTCCCAACAGTACCCATTAATCAGAGCAAGCATTCAGTTCAGATTTGGAAACCATTATTTAAAAGGTGATAATGAACGTTCATAGCTCAAAGAATGTGACTAATTACCTTTCACTATGAAAATTCAAGCCTTGTTCACTGACATTGACGCCTCTGCAGCCTTCAATTACAATAGAGCAGCCTAATGTATGCATTTATTAAACGAAGACACACTCTTCCAATAATCACTCCCCAACCACCTACACGCTTTGTCCACTCAAGTCATTTAAAGTGTAAATTCACAATTAATCAACTGATGCATTGATGTGGAACAAAGAGGGCTCTATCTGAATATTAAGCAGGCTCAGAATTCATCGTTGATGCCGATGAAATGCTGTGCTCTCCTTCAGAGTGCCTGCCTTCATGATGTGTGAAAGCAACCTGCAGCTGCTAATTTATGCGCATGTTTTATTACCTTGTGTTAAGCCTCACTTTGAGACAAAAATAAGCATTCACCAGAAACAGTCTCTATGACATTTTCATGTTTATTAAAACATCTATATATATATATATATATATATATAAACATATATTTGTAAGAAACATATATTTGTAAGAAATACAGTACCATGTCAACTGGTACCACAGACTTTGCAACAGTCAGGCTACAGTATAAGACACTCACTACAGTCATCTGCGATACAGCCAAAGCAATTTTTGCGACATTTGTTTTTTTGTGATGCATTTTTGTTTCTCTATTTAAAGTGAAACATTTCTTAATGAATCCAAGGTATCGGGAATTACTAGTTAAAAAAGGTTCCTCATTCTTGTAATGTAATGGAGTTTGTAATGGAGTAGGCATCAAAGGTCTATAAGACATAACCGATCAACCAAGTACCATTGGCCTGTGTTTGTATGATATATCTGACACTCAAAATGCACTCTATAAAAATAATTTTGTACGTAAACTCTTGCCGTTACACATCCGAAACGGTAGATGTCGCTACAGGAATTTGATCAAGATAGTCCTTTACTAAACGAAACGAAAAAGAACGGCGGTTGTGCCCCGCCCTGTGCCTCTCCCCCCTCTGTACTGAGGCTGAAGTGGATATTCCTGTCACTGGTTTGTTTATGTCGCCGAACGTAGGCTATCCTAGCATTGACAGCTGATCATTAGAGTGTTGTTGTGAAAGAGAAAACGCCTGGTGACATGGCAGAGACCGTTCCTAGAATGAGTCGTTAAAGTAAAAGGGCACCGCTAAAAGCTGATTAGCAACAGCTACAGATCTTTAAAACGGTTAAATTACTTAAGTTAGCATTGCGTCGTGCTAAATCATTAAGTTGAACATTATGGAGTGACGTTGGACGAGAAAGTGTTTGGTTTTTTTTTTGTTTCACAACGTTCTGATTTTTGGTATTGACGTTCCAACATTATTATCAATAAGATAATAATGTGATGATGGTTCGGCCCTAAAACAGGTGTCTGGCAACTTGAACTTAGATTAGCTGCCGAGCTAAATTAGCATTAGCATGGCGTCGGATACAAGTGACACAGATGAATTTTATGATGCTGCAGAGGACGTCAATTTCTCCCCGTCTCCTAAAGTGTAAGAAAATATTTCAAATATTTATTGTTATTTTAGATTGTTTCATACGTTTGAACCTGCATGACTACGCTTACATGTACATGGACAACTTCGCATTGGTTTACAACCAGAATAACAAAATTTGACCAGTAAAGCTAACCTTACCTCAGCTATCTCTACATTCAATTATAATAAAAACATAGTTATTTTATTGTGTACATCAAATGTTTAAGGTCTTTGTTATACAGTGACACAGAGGCTCGGTTTAACAGGCAGGGAGGGACCCGTCCAACCTATCACATGATGTTATTCCTCATACAGTGGAAGAGCAGCATTTTGTCATTATTATGTTGGAACATGTTCCACCAAATAGTTTCCCACCGTTAATATAACAGAGTGGGAAATTATCTTTCTTTTCTTTTTTTTCCTGAAGGCCACAAAGGTTCTGGATCAGATTAACCTATAGGAAAAGCATACGTGTTCAGAGCAGCTTGTTTTACCCACAGTGTCAATAATTAGCCTAAGGTAAACAGTTGAGAACGAAAATGTTAAGCTCTCTTACCAGGATCCAGGTTTCCTAGGACATGCATTAAAAGATCTCTCAGTTCTGGTCACATTCAGTCTTCTGTTATAGACTTCAGGGCTTGTTTTATTGTTTTATTGTTCTTTGTACACTTAACGTGGCTCCCTGCTCACAAACAACAACAAAAATGCAGCCAAAAGCAAAGCCTTTTCTAAAATTCTTTCAACATTTCAAACTAAAGAAGGGATGAGAGAGACACACATTCCATCTATCCACAGTGTAAATACTGTCCCCTATCGCCAAAGGTTAGCATTTGTTTATCCTAAAATAACCTGATTCTACATCCTAATAATCATTCCTTGTGCTATGATTCATATACACTGAAAAGAAAAACCTTTTTTTTCTTTTTCCAAACTTCTCTTCCGTCAATGTTTTTGGTAAATTAAAACGAAAAAAGTGAGGGGGCAGACAGAGGACAGTAGTGTTAAATTAAATTGTGTGGTAAATTAAAACGACAAAAGTGAGGGGGCAGACAGAGGACAGTCATAATGATAAACACTTTCTGTTTAGACTTCAGTTATTTCTTCCTGAATTATTTGGTCTGATTTCTGTTCTTCTCTTTTCTAGGTCTCCTGCAAAGTTTGTCGTTCCGTTGCCTAAGGTATGTTTTTTATAGATACTGTTCTTGAAATAAGGGCAGTAATGACTGTGCTTTTTGAGTGGAAATGTTATTGGTTTCTTTTTCTTTCCGCATGATACATACAGTATTTGTTTATGTTAAGCAAAGGAAGTTCTATTCTCTTTTGAATGACTAAAAGATCCTCAGATTTGGGGATTCATTTATCCAAAATATAAAAGTTACAGCAAGGTTAAAGGTGAAAAAGAACATCTTTCGTTTTGCCATAAACTCTATGTTAATGTAGACACTGCTCAGACTTCTGAGTTCCTCATGTGTTTGTCTTTTCACTGTGACCTCAGTCATTTGATTTCATTGTTGGGTTAATGCATCAGCAGCCTGGAAACTGACAGTTTCCTGGACACTATGTTTGTACAATTGCCCCCGACTGAACACTTCCTGAAGTGGTAAACAGCATTTGTCCATAAGATCTATCTACGCCCCCCCCCCCCCTCATCTAAATAGAGACTTTTGAGAAAGCTGAAAGTAAGCATCTCCAATAAAAAACAACAACCATCAACCCAGTGTGTAACCCAACCCTGTGAGTGTCGTTAATGGACATGGAGTCATTTCCTCTGAAGATGGAATTATTTTCTTTTTCATCAGCTTTCAGTCGATGCTACACAAGATGTGAACGGCGCTGCTGCTGCACCTGAGGCTCATCAAGACGATTCCCTACAGGTGAGAAATTTCTATGTTGTGTCTATGGTTTTTTTTAATTAGTTTCAATAGAATTTTAATAAAACATTTTTTATGTAACATGCTTTTATTTAAGACCTTTTTGTATTTTGAGGTCATCTGTACAGAGGCTTAAAAAATCTTTGAATAAATATTTTCACCTTTTTCCTCAGATCATTGACAGCATCATCGAGGAGAGTCAGAAGGGAGGTGACGAGGAGGTTGGTGAAGTGGCTCAGCGGTTGGATCAGCTACATGTTGATGGAAAAGCTGGAGCGGAGCCAAAGGAAGAGCCAGAGATAAACGCTCAGGAAGTTCCTGCGGAGGCGGCAGATCCAGCCGTTGAACCTCAGCTTGTCGACGGACAAGAGGAACGACAGGAAAGGGATTCCACCAACGGAGCGTACGGGGCTGATGTCCCCGAACATGTAGTTCTGCCCGATTCACCGCTGGTGTCGAATGAAGTTGTACAGCCGCCCGACATCACCAGCACCATCAGGCAGAGTATCGTGTATGAGGTTGTTGTGGTCGGAGAAGGGGAGCAGGAGCAGAGCCCCGCTGACCTCCTGGACGAGGCGTCGCTCGCAGACAGAGCGGCTGATTCAGACTCCAGCCTTCCTGCAAAACCCCCGCGCCCGTTCACTGNAGCCAGACATCGTAGCCAGCACCAAAAAGCCTCCTCCGTCACGTCCACCTCCTCCAAGCGGAGGCCCTCCACCCAGACCACCTCCTCCATCGTGGCAGAGGCCCAGTGGACTGGACGGTAGGGGGAAAAAAAAAATCTTTATCTCCACAGGATTTGTTTGGTTTCTTTGAATCCATGAATGTTTTTGAACTGCGTTTTATCACAGTTGACCAAAACAATGACAAGACAGAAAGAAAAATGGTTTAACTGACAGACGCGTTTGTCAACTGACCTCGCTGTGTTCTGTTCTGCACGACTGCCCAGTGTCCATGGTCAGTTCTGTCAGTGGAGATCCTCTGGAGCCCTCAGGCCTGGTGTCTCCCAGCAGCACAGTCAGGAGTTTAACCAAGGAGCTGCAGCATTCCTTAGATCTGGCCAGTGCCACCAGTGGAGACAAGGTGGTGACAGCACAGGTGAGTGAGGCTGGGGTTCTGCTCCGTTAGAAAAGTAGAATCACACCTGGACCTTAACCTGTGTTGTCCTCTTGGTTTTTTAATTTAGGAGAATGAGGACGACCAGGCGTCGTCCCAGAGCGGAGGACAAACCCCAGGTCCACAGCGTCCACGGTCAAACTCTGGTAGAGAACTGACAGACGAAGTGAGAGGCCCAGGATAATCCTCATTCACTAGAACGTTCCTTCGAATTACTTTTTTTAAAAAAACACATTATTTGTTGTGAAACAGGAAATCTTGGCGAGTGTGATGATCAAGAATCTGGACACTGGTGAAGAGATCCCTCTGATCCAGGCGGAGGAGAAACTTCCTGCTGGGATCAACCCCCTCACTCTGCACATCATGAGGAGAACCAAAGAGTACATCACGTACGTGAAAACACACGTATTCACTGTGTAACTGGAATCACCTGGAGTCCATTAAAAAAAATCTATTTCCACACTGACCAGAAGGGTGACAAATGTAAAAATACGTGGCTGTACTTTATTTTGAGGAGGAAGTTGACAAGTTCCTTTTTTTTCCCACCAACACAGCAATGACGCAGCACAGTCGGATGACGATGACAAACCTGCGGCTCCTCTGTCCGACACGGACGGAGGAAAACTGAAACAGAGAACGTAAGTATGAGTCAAAGCTCTTTGTCGAAGCGGACGTCCTCGTCCTCGTCCTCGTCCTCTCTGCTCACCATCTTCTTCATCTCAGGACCCAGCTGAAGAAGTTCCTGGGCAAGTCGGTGAAGAAAGCCAAGCATCTGGCAGAGGAGTACGGAGAGAAGGCCGTGAACAAAGTGAAAAGTGTTCGTGACGAAGGTGAAAGAAACTGACTCTAGAAGTCCACCTTAACGTGCAGCCGCTCCCCAGAGGTTTACATCAGAGAGTAGTGCTTTTCATCTGGTTTGAACCGGTGGTCGTGACCTTTACAGAGCAGTCGAGATGATCAGACCGAGGCACACGTCCATTGATGTTTCATTGATGTTTGGCCGCCTGTGTGAAGAGTTTTTCTGACGGCCCGTGTCTTCTCTCCCTTTGGTTGGTCTCAGTGTTTCACACCGACCAGGACGATCCGTCGTCCAGCGATGACGAGGGGATGCCTTACACCAGACCTGCCAAGTTCAAGGCCGCACACAGCTTCAAGGGTCCGTTTGACTTTGATCAAATTAAGGTTGTGCAGGATCTAAGTGGGGAGCACACGGTGAGAGCACCTTTGCGTTTCTTTTCATTTCATTTTTAGCACGCAGCAGTGGTTTAAATGAAGGTGCGTCTCCTGTCTCCTCAGGGAGCTGTTTGGACCATGAAGTTCTCCCACTGTGGGAGGCTGCTGGCCACCGCAGGACAAGATAACGTGGTTCGCATCTGGGTCCTAAAAACTGCCTTTGATTATTTCAACAACATGAGAATAAAGTACAACACTGAAGGTAAAGCCATCACTGATAACGAGAAGGGGAGGGGTGGGGGGGGTCTCAAACTCAAACGAGCTGACGGCCTGGTATCTGGACCGTGGGCCAGGAGTTTGAAACCGCTGGTTTAGAGGATATGATTTAGACCTTTGGAGTTTAATGAATGAATTCTTCGTTCCTCCAGGGCGTGTTTCACCTTCTCCATCTCAGGAAAGTCTGTGCTCCTCTAAATCTGACACCGATCCAGGAGTGAGTAAAATTATAAAAACTATTTGTTGTTTTTTTATGACGAGTTTCCCTTTTGCATCATCACTATAATAGTTTTGCCGTTTTTCTTTTTTCAGGCCAGTTGTGTTCCAGAAGATCCCGACACAGAAGACAGGAACGCTCCGTTCCGTCAGGTTCCTTTCTGCAAGTACAAGGGTCACACTGCCGATCTGTTGGACCTGTCCTGGTCCAAGGTGAGACATCTCCTGCTCTTTTGTTCGTCACTTTTTGTACTATTTCTGGCTCCTGGTGTCACTCTTATGTCATCTTCCATTGTTTCCTCGTCTTCCTCCAGAACTTTTTCCTGCTCTCCTCCTCCATGGATAAAACTGTCCGATTGTGGCACATCTCCAGGAGAGAATGTCTCTGCTGCTTTCAGCACATTGATTTTGTCACAGCCATTGCTTTTCATCCCAGGGTGAGTCGACGCGCTCGCCTTTTATTATTGCATTCATCACTATAATAGTTTTGCCGTTCTTCTTTTTTCAGGCCAGTTGTGTTCCAGAAGATCCCGACACAGAAGACAGGAACGCTCCGTTCCGTCAGGTTCCTTTCTGCAAGTACAAGGGTCACACTGCCGATCTGTTGGACCTGTCCTGGTCCAAGGTGAGACATCTCCTCCTCTTTTGTTCGTCACTTTTTGTACTATTTCTGGCTCCTGGTGTCACTCTTATGTCATCTTCCATTGTTTCCTCGTCTTCCTCCAGAACTTTTTCCTGCTCTCCTCCTCCATGGATAAAACTGTCCGATTGTGGCACATCTCCAGGAGAGAATGTCTCTGCTGCTTTCAGCACATTGATTTTGTCACAGCCATTGCTTTTCATCCCAGGGTGAGTCGACGCGCTCGCCTTTTATTACTGATCTCAGCAAAACTCAGACGTCTATTCATTCTCACCCCCCACAGCTCTGTATTTATAGTAACACTTTATTCCGGTTCCTCAGGACGACAGGTACTTTTTGAGCGGCTCTCTTGATGGAAAGTTACGGCTGTGGAACATTCCGGACAAAAAGGTGGCGCTCTGGAACGAGGTGGACGGTCAGACGCGTCTCATCACCGCCGCCAACTTCTGCCAAAATGGGAAATACGCTGTGATCGGCACCTACGACGGGAGATGTATTTTCTACGACACGGAGGTAACAACGCGACACGTCTTTAATCGCGACTTCTCTGTCATCACGGCGTTTATGAAACACGTTCTTGTTCTTGTGCTTCTGCGTGACTCAGCGCCTTAAATACCACACACAAATTCACGTGCGGTCCACCCGAGGCAGGAACAAGGTGGGACGTAAGATCACCGGCATCGAACCTCTACCCGGAGAGAACAAGGTAACACTGACGTTTCCACTCCGCACACACCGTCAACAGACGGCGATGCACACCACCGTCACAGACGGCGATGCAGGTCGCTGTAACCGGGTTTGTCCACACAGATATTGGTGACGTCAAACGACTCCCGCGTCCGCCTCTACGACCTGAGGGACTTGTCTCTGTCCATGAAGTACAAAGGTTACGTCAACAGCAGCAGCCAGATCAAAGCCAGCTTCAGGTAACTCCGACTTGTACTTCAGTTGATGGATGTTAAATGATCCGCAGCGCCACCTACAGAGATGTTGCTTTATGTCTCCACGGGCTGTTATCTGAAAAAATTATAATTTTTTTTTCCTTTAGCCACGACTATTCCTTCATCGTTTTGCTTTAAATCTCCATGGGCCGTTAACTGAAATTTCTTTTTTTCCCCTTTAGCCACGACTATTCCTTCATCGTCAGCGGGTCAGAGGATAGGTACGTGTACATCTGGAGTACTTACCACGACCTGAGCAAGTTCACTTCTGTACGACGGGACCGCAATGACTTCTGGGAAAGAATTAAAGGTAACCTCACCGCCAATTACTAAACAAGCAGAAAGTTAGGAATTATTAACTTTTCAGTAAACATCAGCAGAGTAAAGTGATGGGGGGGGACTAGCTCAGAAACTAGGCTTTACTTAAACTACTTTTTACTAAATAGTCAAGTTTGTCTATTGGTTACAGGGTCAGGCTTTAGTGTGGATGGGTTGCTGGTTCCAGTCCCAGCCTCTGTTCTGTTCTGTTGATCACTTTTTTTTTTAGCTGTGTCACTGCTCATAGTCGACCAACCAGCTCTGCCTGATATTGATGGGAAAGGTTAAGGCAATATTCCAGAGTTTTTAGGTCTGCAGACGTCGGCTCAGACCGAGCAGAGCAAATGTCAAATTTAATGCTGTAGAAAAAAATGGGTTGTAAACAAACAAACAACCGTAGTGTTGGCGTTATATCTGTGGTTTGAGGTGTTAAAGCTGCACTCACCTTTTTCAGCACACAACGCGGTGGTCACCTCGGCCATTTTCGCACCACACCCAGGACTCATCGTGCCACAGGAGTGCGGAGCAGAGATGCCGGAGGCCGAGTGTCAGAGCCTGGACTCCACGGACTCTCAGACCTTCCCCTCAGGTCAGTGTTCCTCTGAGATGAGGTGACGTGACTCCCAGCATCTCGTCCTCTCAGTGCTCTAAGACCTTTCTGTTCTCCCACAGGAGCCCTGAAGACGGATCACACCGAGGTTCTCCTCTCTGCAGATTTCACTGGAGCCATCAAGGTTTTCATCAACGTCAAGAAGTACTGAGGTTTTCCTGTCTCCTCATCAAGAGGACATTTTGTCCTGCAGATCCTGAACTGTACACCAGGTGTCACTAATCGTCTCCTAACTACCTAATGGTTATTGCTCCGGGACTACAAACAAACTGTCTGGCGCTCACTTTCAGGACAACAGGGGACCGAAAAAAAAAAGAGAAAAAAAAGACTTTCTAAAACTGACCACGACTTGGTTCACTGTAACATTTCTGAGTTTATTTTTTATTACCAAGCAACTGTGAATGGTTTGGCATCAGGAGGAGACAAAATATCCAGAGAAATGCCAAACTTTTGGTGCGGTTTGAACAGAAACTAAATCTGCCCTGACGATGGCGCTGTTCAGTTAACGGTTTGAGCACCTCACTAGATTTAAGAAAATTAACTCCTCACAGGTGTGAGACACTTTCAGTCCCACGTCACAAACGTGACCCGTACAGTTTTGGAAAAACGTCGTTCACCAAACGTCTGTGCCTCTTAATCCTCCACTGCTTTTCTTAATCCAGCTCCTGTCACGTCACTCAAACTCTTTAACCTTAAATTGTCCAACATTTCAGCAGCAAACACAAAATATTATACAGAGAAATCTGCTCACAGAACAAAGAACTGGGCTGAGCGTCTTCAGTTTTCACACAACTTTTGATACATTTCTTTAAAAAAAAAGAGAAAAAAAGAAGCACATTTCCTTCAATAAAATAGTATAATAAATTCACCCTCACTTCGCATACTTTTTACTGTCTCACTTTGTAGTAACTCCACCCTAAAGTGTTTCACCTTGAAGCTTGTTAAACATTGTCAACGTCACTCACTCTCTCTCTCTCTCTCTCACACACACACACAAACAAACACACCACGAGCTGTTATTAGTTTTTACGTCAACGTCTCTGGTTTGTTCTTTTAAAAACAAATATTAAAACAAAAATAGATTTAATTAGTTACAGTTTTCTTCAAGCTTCATGATACAAAAGAGACATGAAGTGGGTGAGAAGGTTTTTTTTTTTGTTTTGTTTTTTTTTGGGGGGTTGAAAGAAAAATGTGTGAAAGTCAGTGTTTGCTTTTCTTCGTCTTCTTGTGAGACCGGTGCGGGGAACGGGATTTAGACTTCGCCGTCTTCCGGTCTGGAGACGGAGATCGGGAACGTTTGGACCACTTGGGAGACCTTTTCCTGTCACGTCAGGAGGAAGTGATGAAGTGACTACAAATCAACGCCTCTGTACAGTGTGTCATGTGGAAATGTAGTTTCTGACACTTGCCTTGAGGGTGAAATGCTCCCGGACTTCGGAGTCTTGTCGTCGGACTCTCTGCTCCGTCCTGTTTTCCTGTCTCCGTCCTCACTTCTTCTGCCTTTCTCTCTTTCCCGTCTGTCCTCCTTTGACCTGCTTTTGGACTTGGACGGCGTTTCCTGGTTCAGGTCTTCATCTTTTTTGAACTCCTTTGGCAGGTGAGGTAAAAACACAGGTGTTGGTCAGTAAAGTAGAACAGATGAAGGAAAGAAGGAAGGAACGGAATCTGGTTTTTGTAACTCGCGCTAACACTCAAACCGGCAGCTTCTGTGACTTGTCATAATAAAAACTTTTTTTTTTTTTTTAAATAAACTCTTAAGCAACAGTTAGACAGATGCAGGAACCTACCGACTCCAGCAGCTTGTTCCTGAAGAGCTCCACCTGTTGCTGAATAGTCATTCCAGACTTCCTGGACTTTTTCCCAGATTCTAGCTCGTCCTGGAACTTCATAACTTTAACCTGTGTCAGAAACATCCAGAACACATTTTATTCCAGCAGAACTAGTTTTTTCTAAGTTGGACGTGTTGGAGACGTCAGCTGTGACGTACTGACCTCCAGTTCTCTCAGCCTCTTCCTCTTGCTCTCAGACATCTGGAAACTTCTTAAGGAGCTTTGGAAATCAGCGCTGTGATATTTGGACGGCTCATCGGCGCCATCGCTCTCCGAGTCCTCGTCACTGTCCTGTGAGTTGGTGCTGTTTCCACAACAAAGAAGAGGAGAAATATGTTTACATAACGTCTGTGAGTGAATATCAAATTACCATCAGTTACTGCTTCATTACATGGTAGAAATATGTGGTAAAAAAAAAAACTTAAACTCTAAACACATCCTTTTTCAACATTATTAACTAAATCTTAAAACAGCCACAAGGGGGCGTACCTTTCATTTGCATCATCTTCATTCTCTTCTAACACCGAGTCCCACTTAGAGTCGGTCTTGACTGAAAAGACGGTGGACACAGATGAGCAGGAGGTCAGGAGAAAATACAGAATTAGAATGAGCCAGGACTGACTGTAGATGGCGCTGTAATGATACAGTATGCTATCAGGTGTTTGACCTTAAAAAACTTACAGACAACAGACGTGACTAATGTGGACTCAGTTCATCCCTGATATTTTCTGACCCATACCTTTACTATCACCGATCTTCTCCCACTTGGACAGAGGCATCCTGGAGAGAGGGACGCTGCTGTCGTCCACTGTGGACAAAAAAGACGAGTTGATTAGGCCAAGGTCAGGTCCTCTTAATCAGTGGACCTCAAATATCTGATTCAAATAATAATCCTATAAGGAATAAACTTCCCCCAAGTACCACTAGAGGGAGTTAAAGTGCCACCAGTGGTTTGTGTACCACTGGTCTAAACACTGTTTTAACATCTGGTTATTAGAATAATGATGTAAAAAAAAAAAAAAAAGTGTACGGCTCTGCTCTGCTGTACAGAGGACCAAATTAAATAAAAGTTAAAGATGGAGTTATGCAAAGAATTTAAAAAAAAATAAAAGTCAAAGATGGAGTTATGCAAAGAATTTAAAGATTGCACCTGGTGATGAAATGAACTCTTTAGATGATTCACATGATGCACTGACACTTTGACCCTGAAAATGATCACTACGTTGTGTGTGTTTTGCCAGTATTTTCACACTGTGTCAAAATAAAATACCAGTATGTGATGCTGGTATCTGTTGTTTTTCTATTTACACAACAAACACTGCAAAATCTCATAAACTCAAAAGAGATTCCTGGTAATTCAACTAAAAACCCAGCGTGTTTTTAAGAACCATTTTGTTCCGTTCAGTATTGATCCACGACATCTGTCCTGGACAGACGGCTGATACCAGATACAGACAGAAGGTGGTGCTCATTACTCACAGGGCATTCCATCAATGTCATCATTGGCGACCCCTAGAGGGAGACCGTCGATGTCATCAACAGGGACTCCGTCCAGAGGGTCCCAGCCCAGAGGGCAGCCGTCCAGGTCCTCCGCCACGGCTCTGTCCAGAGGAACGCCATGGATGCGTGAGCCGTCCATCGGCGCTCCGTCCAGGTCGAAGGACTCCACCTGCACAGAGGAACCGGAAGAGAACTTCTAAATCACAACACACCCCCTCGTTAAAGTGTTCTTTAGACTAACTCTAAACGACACAGATTCACGGAATGAAGCAGCAGTCGATCAGACAGACCAGACCAGGGGTGTCAAACATACGGCCCATGGGTCAAACCTGGCTTGCTGGGGCGGCTGAATCTGGCCCACTTGATTTCATTATGTATGAATATTTCATCAGAAAAACATGGACTTCTTGTTTATTAAAGGTAATTTCAGGTAATTTTCAAGCCTTTAGTTCAGGAGATTAACAGATTAACAGATTAACAGGTTTTACAGATCCAACAGATTACTGGGCAATAATGTCTTGTTAGCTTTTTCTTCTAACCTTATCCAACAGATTACTGGGCAATAATGTCTTAACAGATTAACAGATTAACAGGTTTTACAGGTGCAGTAAAAAATTAAACACTGACTCAGTGTTAGCAACTTAATTAGTGATAATCCAACAGATTACTGGGCAATAATGTCTTCATTTCTATTGGCCAAATGTCAAATGGGTTACAGTTGTATATTATAGTGTGTCCCTTTATTTTATTTAATCAAACTTCAAATTATTTCACCACGATTTCTGCCTGAAATGTTGACCACTAAAACTTTTAATTTTTTTCTTCTAACCTTGGTCACAGTAACCACGTCTCGTGGGTCAATGATGACTATAACACAACACGTTGATCACCGTCTCCTTCCACTGATATAAAGTAATAAAGTAAAGGGTGAGATCTGACCTCTGCCGTCTCCGTCGGCTCCTCCTCTGCTGCAACGAAGCCCAGAAAGATGTTCTGCAGGTGGATGAGATAAGGCTGGGGGTATATGGCCCAGTCTTCCCACGCTCTGAAACAACTCATGACCTTTTGCTGCAGAGATGACATGTGGACATAAACATGATTTATTCATGGTTCTTGTTTTTTAGGAAGCAGGGGGGAGGAGGGTGAGGAGGTGGGGGAGTATAACTGTCCTTGTGTGGAGCAAATGAGGAGACGTGATCACCTTAAACTGCTCGGCCTGCAGTCTGCCTTGTATGTTTTTATGGGCCGCATTCAGGTCTTTAAAAACCTTGGCCAGGCTCGTTTCAAAACTGGAGACGGAGACAAAATGGTCGTTAGGATGAAGACAGAACTCCGTGAATGTGTTTGAGAATGATTTTTTTTTTTCAAATCTCTTACTATTTCCTATAATATGATGCACCGGCGACTTTGGCGCACGAGTTATGCAGGACGTCGGAGACTAGATACAATCTGGCGACCTGGAGGTGGAGGGGAAAAAAAAAAACACACTTCACCATATATCCTGGTGGAGGATTAAAGGGATAAGACCTTCAGGGTGAAGCGTTTGCCTTTTTCAGCAGCGGCGTCTGAATGGAGGAAAAGGACTTGACGATGAGCGTCACCACTTCCTCCGCTGCGTCTGCTCGGTCCAGACAGAACAACATGGTGTCGGCGATGGCTTCTCTGCTGGGAGTGAGCTCCTGAAGCAGCGTCTCCAGTCTGTGTTTGTGCCTGGATGTCGTCGGGGACAACGACAACAACAGCAACAATAGGTCATGTCAGTTCAACAGCCGAGAGACTCAATCCTAATCTAGACAACAGAACTGTTTTTATTTAGTTTTGTTTCAGTCGGCCACATATATAAATGAAACATGTTATACTGTATTTTCATGTTTATGCCCCGCCTTCTAGCAAACAAACACAGCTCTGATTGGCTCATCTTCATCCAGATCCACATTAACTTCCTGTTTTGACTTAGTTAATATTCGATTGGCTCAAACAACTTCCTGTTTTGACTTAGTTAATATTTCATCAGAGTCAAACAGGTCGTCGACTAAGTCTTTCTCAGTCCAACATGTGATCTTTATCATAAAGCTGTCGTTTCAGCCTGAGCCACTTACTCATTTTTAAGCTGCCCTTTCTTCACCTCCTCCTCCGGAGACGAATTCTCCTCTGCCTCCTCTTCCGACTCCTCTCCCTTGTGGAAGTAACTATTCAGGACAGGCGGCCTCCACAAGGAGCCTCCTCGGAACAATCGGAAGTCGGTGGTTCTCCAGTCGGTTGGAGTTTCTCCCTGTGTGGCAGGAATCAGGACCAGGACCATATTTTATAAATTATACTCATTATTTAAAACATTATTAATATATTATAGTGATATCTTGATTCTAAAACCATGTGAAGAACTTTTTTGTTTTTGTCAATGACACAGGCAGCACTTACACTGTTCTTACATTTGATCAATGTTAAGACCCTATTGATTGTTACTTTAAAAGAACTGTTAATACATTTTAGTATAAACAGAATATTTGTGTGTTTTTTAATATCTTAGCCCAGTCTTTTTTCCCCTGTACCTGCAGGATGGAGAAGAGTTTCCAGCGATAGTACACATGGTCCTGGCTCTTGTTGTCAAAAAGGAACCTGCGAACACAGCGTCGTAACAAATGAAATGTCTCCACAAACGTGACAGTGTGAAGGTGGCTGGTGAAGAGAACCAGGATCGGTGACGGGGAGTCTCACCTGTAGTCTGGGTTGTTTTTCTCCTTGTTCATTATCATGGCTTCAAACACGGGACCTTCACGCACCACAAACTCAATCATCCTGTGAATGAGGAACAATAGGTTCCTGTGGGAACACACATGGGTGAGTATCAGAGCGGAGATCTCTCCTTCACTCCAGCGATGATCCATGAAACGTTCTGGCCGACTGAACCCAACTTCATGTCATAACATTTAATGAATTACAATAATAAAAAGATCATATTATAAGGTGAGAGTTTGCGTTAGAATGTTGGACTCGTGAGCTCTGGATACGTGGGACAAATGCTGCATCAGGACTTTAAATATTCCTGAGTCACTGTGTGCACAGTACGAGCTGAAGAAAATCAATCACCTCCTCCATTTACAGCCACTGACCACGAGTGACAAGTATCTGGTTTCTCACTTTAGAACCAAAAGATTTTTACTGATAAAGAAAAAAAAAACAAATAAAAATTCTGTAATCAACGGAATAAAACACAACATTGTTGTTGTGGCTTCAGCCTAGACAGGATACTGAAAAACACTTTTTTTTTGGTGACCCCATGTGTTTGGTGGTGCAATTTTTCCAATGTAAAATATGTTTTTTGGTGCAAAAAAACACTAGTGTGAATACATTTTTTTTTTAAATTTTCTTTTTGATTTCTACAAAATATGTCCAGAAAATACAGTATTTTGTACACTGAATTTTCTTACAAAATATATGTACTGCAATATCAGTTTCAACACGTCTTAATAATGTGTTATTCCAATTGTGTGGGTGGAGAAAAGCAGCATAAAGTTTGATCCTGATTGTAACAACATCAGACAGGAACAGACTCAGGGCGACATTAAAGTCAATCTGCCTTCCAGCTGCATCAGTCTGCAGCAGCGTCTCAGCCCACAGGAAAACACACGGTCGACTGATGAATGGATCAATGGACCTAATGGCTCTTCATTTATCAAGTCTGCTGCTATTTATTTCACCATAACGACGCCCGGCCTTGATAACAAGTCGAAAAACAACAAGGACCACATCTTGCTGAGGCGCAAACTCAAGCAGAAAACACACAAAAGTGGAACAGAAATACTAAGAAGTATCCCTGATCTGGAGCTCTACAGTCAGAGGGACACGTGACATCTGATACAGAGGTACTTCCCAGACCACAGATGTCGTCCTACTGTCCTCTTAGAGCACGGGTGTCAAACATACGGCCCGTGGGCCAAAACCAGCCCGCTTGGGGTTTCAGTGACATAACAATATACTAAACAATATCATTAAAAATAAATCAATATAGGGCTGTAGAATATCACCACGGTATTGTGAAATAAAATATTGCGATATTTTTGTGTATTGATATTGTATTGCATCCCTAATAAGTACAGTGTGTGTGTGTGTGTGTCATTGCATCCCTAGTAAGTACAGTGTGTGTGTGTGTGTACCTTTCTGTGGGGATAACCACTTTGACTACGGCTTCGGGCAGAGTCTGTTTGTGAAGTCAAACCAAACAGTGAAGTGATTAAACAGTGAGCACTGGCACAGAGGAAACACTGCAGGATACATACAGCATAGAAAACAACAACAGCATCCACGGTTAGTTACACCAAGGGAACAGCAGGTGATCCAAAAATATTTGTCTTGTCGAAGCACCGCGACTAAAACTTCAAAAACGCAGACAAACTTTACCTTGTCCAGCTCTCCTTTAGAAACCCCTAGTGGTTTAGTGAAGTCATTACGGAAGCGACCTCTCGGCTGGGCGTTGAAAGGTAGACCAGATGGGGGCGGTGGTGTGACCCTCACCCCTGACGGTATGAAGAGAGGCTGCGGGGGGATACGGGCTGGTTTTCCCCATCCCAGCTTCATCTCAAAACCCATTATTGTTTTACCTGGAATTAAAAAGCCAACATTTACGGTCAGGCAGGAGGAACACTACAAATATAAAGCTGTCCTATGACCAATCAGATTCACAGTTCTAATCATTTTCTACGACCGTACCGTCCAGTGCAGCCAGCGCTCTCTCTGCATCTTTGCGCGTCATGAAGGCCACAAACGCTCTGTTGGACGTCCTGCAGCGCTCCTCGTCTGTTCTGGGCCACATGATCTTCACACTGGCCAGTGGACCGTACTTACCAAACTCTTTACACAGTATCTCCTCATTCATCTGGAAATAAAAACAGAGTTTAGACAGGAGACCTACAGTACATCCTGGTCACGAGCCAAACAAAGTCAGAACAGATCTTCACCTTGGGGCTGATGCAGCTGATGTAGAGGTTGGTGCTGACTGGCAGGTTCAGGTCGTCGTATAAAGCTGTTAGAGAAACAAAGAAACTTAGGACGGATCTGAGGACTAGGAAACTTCTGACCTTGAGTTCTGACAGCAGAGCCGTACTTGATCGTCCTGACAGCGGTATGTCAAGATCTCCATATCCCTCTCCTCCTCCTCCTCCTCCTCCTCCACTTCCTCCTCCCAGGTCATTTCTCTTCCTTTTATATCTTTCCTCGCGCTCTTCCTGTATTCTTACAGATTCCACATAAAAACACAGGGTTATATTCACCAAATCACACTAAAGTTCTCTCAACCAAGGATATAAAAATAAAACACCTACAGTTTAAGTTCTTCTTTGAAGAGTTCGAGGTTGCTCTTCTTCTTCTCGTCTGTCTTTCTTTTGAAGGTCTGTAAACCAGACAGTCGGTCAGTCGTATCGTAGAGTTACACTTTCACCAAACGACAGGTCAATTTCAGGAGTTATTCCATGGCATGTAGACGAGAGGAGGAACTTACAGACTTTTTGCTCTCTGCGCTTGGTGCTGGAGAGACGGGTTGTGACACCGAGGCAAACTTTGAAGTGGGTCGATACAACTTACTCTTCCTTTCATCTGCCGCTTCCTCTTCTGCAGAAGAAGACACGATTACACAAGGATAAAAAGATCAAACTTTTCCTCTCTGTTCGGAATATTTATTGATCTAATATAACACACACACTCACTGGTTTTGATGACACTATGTTTTGATGCACAATTCAAGATCTAAATAGTTTACGTCACATGATCATTTTGAATGTGTCACGTCAGTGAAATATAAGTTTCTCCACAGCCAACACACAAGAAAAAGAAAGACACACCATGAATCGTCATTAAGTGGTTTTTGAATGTGTGTGAGCAGAAAGTCATCGATTAAAAAAGGCGGAAACTAAAGAGAGTGAAGGAAATTCAACCAACCACAGATGATACTCCAAATATTAACTGTAGATGTGACGTTAGTTACTTTCATACGTTAACTAGCTGAGAAAAGCTGGTCGATCTTACATATATATAAAAAGCAAATAAACAGGGTTAATGTCCTCACTCGTGATACTGCATTACTAACAAACCCCAAAGCATCATGGGAAATTCTGCCACCGTACCCTAACCTGCTACAATATCTTTAAGTAAGCAATAACTCTGAGGTTTTTCTGGAGAATATTCTGGACCGTACAATAAAACATTTATCAACACTTTGGGCTGTTTGTAAGAGCATTAAAAAACTTGTAAAATACATGCTTAAAAAGTAAAAAGTAATTTGAAAGAGTCTTATTTCGTTGCCTTCAGCTTTCTCTGAGTCTGATAAGAATGAAGTCTCTGTGCTGCTGCTGCTCTGTATTAAAATGACCTCATTCCCTCTGCTCTGACAATGCACTGCTAAATATGACTACCAGGAGCTGAAACACAGTCAGGTTGGTTTAATCTCCGGGGCTAATAATCTTTTCCGTAGCTCCTGAACAAAACAAAGTGAATAGATTCAAAAAGGAACTGAACGGTGATTCTATTGTAATGTTAACATCCGTCAGACTGACCTTTAGTGGCATTCACTATTCCTCCACAGACAAAGGTTTTCACTCCGCTCCTCTTGCTGTTCTCAAACGACGCCAAAAATTCTTCAAAAACCTCCGCCGCCTTCTCTTCCTCCTGAGAAAAATTACCAGTCGTTATTCGTACACATTTATGTCACTATGTTTTTGGCAATTTCTTCCACAGTCACCTTGGAATAAAGAATCAAACAGAAAATGAACAACATTGTTCACTTCTACGAGTTTTAATGGAGAGTTTAATTGAAAGTTGTTATCGAAGCTTTAATGAACCTCTGGGGCACAGGTGGATAATAGCACAGAATATAATTATGTCATAACACAGAGAGAGAGAGAGAGAGAGAGTGGAAACTGTCCCAAACGCTCTTACCTTTTTCTTCAGCTGGATTTGTTCCTTCTTTGAGAGGGATTTAATGGAAGTGGCAGGTTTTCCTTTTCTATCTGCCATTGTCAAACTGCAGAACAAAGAATATTCTGATTAGCGCCTTTTCTTTTCTTTTCTTTTGGCTGCTTAATCCGCAAGCGCAATTCATCAGCCTTCACTACAGTTTCACCAACCATCTTAATTTCTTCCTGCACAATTCCAAATCAATTTCCTTTGTCTTCCTTGTCAATCTGAAGTGACAGTTGCATCTCCAGAATCGTCAATCAATCTACTAAACAAATAATTATTCCTATTTTTTCCTGCACTGTTTTTTTTATTAAACTTTGTGCTACTAATTGCAACTTTTAACACTCGCAGTGTTTAAAAAACAGGTTGACAGGTTGTCAAATGTGTTGTGATAAATAACTGTTAGTTTCATCCCTTCTTTAGAGTACATGTTTAGTACAAATGTAATTGCATTGTGGTTTAGTTTATAACATTTAGTATAACATTACATATAGTGAATATTACAGGCTGTCGACACACAGTGTCTGTGACTTATCTTTATTTCAATGTTTGGTCCAGCAGGAGGATGTAAACAAAACTCACAACTTTGCATATTTTTTTACCGTTTGTTTTTTCACCTTACTCACTGTTCATAGCCGAAAAATAAAACCGCCAACACGATACAAACAAACAAAACAAACCAACCTTATTCTGTACATCTTGCATGTTGTATTGAGAGCCTGGACTTGACTTTTCACTGGGCTACTGCTAACGTTAGCTCCAGCCCACTGCCCTGTAGCTGCGAACTAGCCTTAGCCTTTAGCACAAATATCAGTGGATAACACCTCGTTTGTCTTTAAAAGTGGGAGTCGGACTGCTTAATTCTAAATGAATTATGTCACACACCAATGCACGCATTTTACGAACAATTATTTCATTTACTGTGGCTAACGTGTGCTAACGCGGAAAGCTAACAACAACACTGGACCTCAGACACTACACGAGACGTTATTCTTAAAAACACAGAACTTGCATTTTAGCTATAACCACAGATTAGTCACTAAAACGTTTACTTACAGTGCGTTTCATCATGTTAGTGCTGTAATAACAGTGGTGGTGGTGCGGGTTTTTAGTTGTGTTCTGAGGAGGTGTGACGTCCGACTGGAACTGTGGACGCTTCACACTGAAGACGCCTACTTCATAATAAATGAGGAGCAGAGACTTTATTAAAAGAGAAAGGGTCGATATAAAGAAATTAGGAGCAATTTGCAAAAATTAGTACAAAGCCAAGCCAAAATGTTACAGATAATTAAGATTTAAACCAGTATTTGACAAAGAATTATCTGTCCTAATGACCGAAATTGGTAGAAGTTAGCCAAAACATAACCCGAAAATTAGCATGACAACCAAGTCACCACGAGCTATTTAGAAATGAGAAAAAAAAGCTAGGATATTGTGTATAAAATAATATAAAGCAAGCTTAAAAAGATATCTGAAATTTATTCATAGTGTCTTTGGCACAAATAACATTAAAATTATATATTTTTTTTTATTTTGCATTGTTTAATAAAGACGAATTAAATGATAGAACCACAGGGTTTTACATCACCTGGTTATTTATAGTGACTAGTCATTGTCACTAGTTGAACTTAATACAGACATCACCTGGTTATTAATAGTGACTAGTCATTGTCACTAGTTGACAGAGAAGTTCTCTGTGTTTATCAAGGCCCTGTAAAAAAAAGATATTTTATTAAGATTATTTTCAATTTTTACTTATTCTTTTTCTGCTGCTTCCTTCAGGTTTCTGTTCTGTTTTTCTTTTGCCCCCTCTATTGCCCCATGTTGTTGCACAGTCCATTATTGTGGATGGCTGACCCTATAGATACTTGAACTTAATTACACCTTAATTACCTCCAACCGTTGCAGCTGCCTCTCTACCGTGTACACATGTATTCTGTCTTACACTGGCAGTAAAGTGTAAAAAAAAAAAAAAAACAAAAACGAATAAAAGTCTAAAATGGCCTCCAAACCCCTGATTCCCATCATTATCACCCCCACCATCAGCAGCAGCAGCAGCATCAGCATCAGCACCACTTCCACTATACACACGAACCAAGCCCCTAGCGGTCATCCCGGGTAGGAGCTCTGTGTGTGTGTGTACGCATGGGCGGAGAGGGGGAGAGAGAGTAAGAGAGAGAGAGAGTAGAGAGAGAGATAGGGGGAGGCTGCCGCTGTGCGCTGTTATTATTGTAGGAGAGTAATTTCTTTTTTACGAAAATGGCGTCTAGTCAGGGAGGTGTGGGCGCCGCTGCCACGGCTCCGCACAGCTATCAGTTCTCCGGGGGACCTCAGTGGAGCCCGGCCATCGGTCACTTCCAGCAGCCTCAGCAGCAGCAGCAGCAACAGCAGCAGCAGCAGCAGCAGCAGCACCACACGTAACGCAGCCTGGACCGGGCTCTGGATGATGCGGTGTGCTCCGGGATACTGAACCTGAGCGGGAGGAAGCTGAGGGAGTACCCGGGTGTGAGCTACGATCTGACGGATACGACACACGCAGGTGGGTCGCTGTTACAGGAGTGGGCTGCGTGAGATGATGGTCACAATGTGGGCTTCATCGTTTCCGATGCTTTGTGCGTTGATGTCTATCTAGGTTTTATGGGTAGTTTTATGGGCGCAAGAGGCGTGTGTGTGTGTGTGTGTAAGGTAACCACATTTAAAGGGACATTACCACTCACACACACTCACACACAGGTTGTAATTCATTAAAGATTGTACAGTGTACATCTCTGCACCAGGGGCTTTGGCTGCTCCTGTGTGTGGTTGTTTTGGCCGACGCTTGGGTCTTTTAGTGGTCGCACGCGCGCACGCGCACGCGCTCGTATTAGACACATGAATGAGACGCCTGCAGGCGCACCCAAGTCACGCGTTGTGCAGTGGTTTTTGCACAGTGGGCTGCAGTTTCATCAGGCCCCGAGGAGCAGCAGCAGCAGCAGAATATGAATGAAGTCAGTGTAAAATCCTGTAGTCTCTTTGAATTATCATCTGTGCTCAGAATGTAGGCCATGTTTAGAAAAAAAAAAATCTTCCCTGGCAAGAGGAAGAGACAAAAGATGCAGCATGGTTGCAGCCTCACCCCCTGTGCCTGCCAGCCTTCCTTATTGGTGGGTGCTTTTGCCCTAAAGCCTGGGTACTTTAGCCGACGGTCGTCGGTCTGATCTGTAATATTGCATTTCACTGAGCTCTTGCTCGGAAATGATAGCGAAATGCCAGTGCATCTCCGAGGCCGTGCCCACATTGCTGTAGAATGGAAATATTTAGGGATCAACATTTGAGAGACCACATGGTGGTCATGGTGGCTAACATGTTCGCCACACAGTAAGGAGGGCAAAGGTTTGGCAGTGGGATGGAGCATGACTGTCCAGAAGGAGCTACCAGTGTGTATCATGTCTCGTTGTGTTTTCCTCTAAATAGGATCAGGATTTAAACATCTCTCCTTTTTTTTTCATTAAAGAAGAACTGAGTGTCAAGTGTTGTCCTGGTGCTAATTAGCTCGACAAACTTTTACTCTTCTTTCTGGCAGAGTGTGGACCAGCGTACAGTAACTACCACTAACATATTTTGACAGTTTAGCTCCTGCAAATTGACACGAGAAGCAGTCACTTTCAGAATCGCTTCAAAGACAGAAGGAAGTGAATCTGAATCCGTCTCCTCTCCTCCTCCTCTGGGGAAAGTGGCTTGCCTTCTGTCCATATGGTGCCGCTCTGGCAGGTCACTGGTTTGTTGGCAGGCACGACCCACTGAGGATTTCAGTCCACTGCTCAAACATCTTCAAATCTGTGCAGCTTTTTGTTCGACCCTCGGAAAAAAAGCTATCTTTTAGCTTCTCTAGGAATGGTTGTTGTAGATTCTGCAGAATTGACTTTTGTGAAAAACAATTTTTTTAGGCTATGGATGAAAGTAATGATTGCAGTATATCGCATATATATATATAGGTGTATGCAACCGCATTAACAATGTCACTGTGAGTGTATGCTGTAATACAGTGAGCAACAACTCTGAGGTTATTCTGGAGAATATGTTTGAAATGTTGACATGTCTCAGTAGCATGTCTCTTCACACACCACGTCTGAAAACCGGAAAGGATTAAATAATGTTACTACAATATACAATATACTGACTGGATGTCTGGATATTTTTAAATGCTGCTGTCTTTGCCCATGTCTTCATTTGGAGGCCTCTAATGACAGGTTTGCTCAGAGGAAGTTCTCACTTTCCGATGTGCCAAGAGCGATCAACACCACAGTGGAGCATTCGCACAAGTAATCTCAGAAGTGGAAAAAACATCTGCAGATTATAATTGCTTGTAGTTCTTCTGCACAAATCTGACTGAACACAGGCAGCTGGAATCCTAGGGGGAAAAAAGGAAGTTTCTGATTCATATGAATGTATTTTGGGTTTCATGTGTCTTTTTTTTTTAATATTTCCTCTCTTACAATGTAAAAAAGGAAGTATCCGAGGCTGAACTGCACATTCAGGCCTGCAATCCCATAATAATTGGGTTTTATTTAGATTTCAGTGCTGATTTTAGAGGCTAGAGTGTTGAAGTCAAACCAATCTGTCCTCTTATTAGTGACGAGCAGCAGTCAGTGGACGGAGCCTGCTCACACTGAGGTGTCTGTTTACACTGACCGCACTGACGGTTTGTCTTCACCCGCTCGGTTTCTCGTGGGAATGTGCTGCAGCTCTGAGAGGCTGCTGCGTCTGGGGACCATCACCTCAACCTGGACAGATGTTCATATGCTCGTATCCCAGCATGCCCCTGGCTGCCACCGATCTGCCCCGTAGGGAACACACCAACACAGTGTTTGTTCTGTCTCTGAAGGGCCAAACTGTCCAGACACATTAAGGCCGTTTTATTTGTGCAGCTAGTTGTTTGGGCACCATGACTTGAGAACCACTATAGCCCACTCTGATGAACACATTTTGCCCAAGGGTACTATTCGGTTTTGGAAACAAAATTTTAAAAATATATGATTAGTATTAATATTTAATGATAGAAAATGACAGTCTGGCACAATTTGTTTAACAGACATCGCATAGAAAACCAAACCAGGTCACATACAGTATTTACAGGAAGAAAAAGCTCAGACAGATCCAGACTCAGAGGGTGCAGCCGTCTGCCTCAGCGAAGGGCAGGTGTGTGAAAAAGATTGGCGACAACAACAACACTGTGGTCCTCAGGCAAACAAGCACATTCACGTGGTCACGGTTAGAGTGAAGACGTCGTGTCTTCTTAAAGGACACAAGGTCAGAGAACAGCATTCCATGTTCTTTATGATTAACCAGAACAAACAGCGTTACGTACGTCTTACTTCCCAGAAACAATCACGAGTCTAAAGGCCCGCTGGTTGAAAAGCAAGACATCGAACTAATGTTGCTAATGTCTGTGTTTCAGCGCCGCACTCAAATCGCATTGAATTTGTAAAGATCTGAAAATGTAACCGTGATACAAGAGACCAATCCCCGACGAAAACACTTCAAAACAAAAACAGTAGAAAGGGAGAGAGAGAGAGAGAGACAGAGAGAGAGAGCAGCTAAGAGTAATTTAAGCAAATTGCTTGTTTTTCCGTCAGTGATATTATCTGACTGATCACAGTAATAGAAGTGCAGGATGAAAAGAAAATTCAGATTTCTCACTGCTGTTCCTTAGCTGCAGGGCTGCTTCTGTGATGTGCCGCTGCCTGTCAGGACAGGAGGTATTCTTTTACCTGTCAGCACAAACACGGAGCTGTGCCGCCGCTAACACTATTGATCGTAAAAGTGAAGTGAAACCTGGATGACTTGGGGGGTCATCGTCGTTGTTTCCCCCTGAGCTTGTAATGCTACAAATGTTGTCTATAAAAAGAACCAATCAAACGCCGTCGTGTCATGACGAGAATGTAATCAAGTTTTTAATGATCAACCCTCGGTTTAAAGGATATTAAATAGTTTATCCCTCTCCATATTAAAAGGATATTTTTTGGAAATATGTTTTTTTTTTAATAAGAGGACTTGGAATATCTGCCATCACATGACATCAGACATTCACAAAAATGTATTAATTTTAATTGAGATAAAATGGTTTGAGCGAATGTAGGTCATATGAATAACTACATTTCAATTGTGATTTTTCACTTATATTATGACTTATATTTTTTTGCGTGTACAGTGCCCAACCAGAAGGTGGGGCCCCGGGTCGTTATTGGCACCACTGTAGGGTTTCATCAGCTGTTGTCTGTCACTGACACTTGGCTCCACGATTAGCTTTGCCGACATATTTGTCACCAGCCTGGTGCTCACCGGGACAGTCCTGGTACTTAGTGACAGACGGACCGTGACTCAATGACAAAGGAATGAACCAATGGGACGATGAGTCATCAGTGGGGCCTGCTGATTGGTCAGTCAACCAATGATGGGCAACCAATCTGTCAACCAGTGATAAAAACCTTCCAATGGGGCCCCAGTGTGGGGGTGTACAGTGCTGCCCCCGGTGTTATTCATTGGAAACCCCTCCATGGTTATTAAAACTGAACAATAATCTGTGTTCTGTGAATTCAATTCTATTTTAAAATACTCTCATCGTACTTTACTACAGGAAGTGTTTGGGAATCAAGTGATTCCCAAACACTGCACCGTGGCCCACTAGTGTACCGTAAGAGATCATTAGCTGTGCAGTGGAAAATGATCTAATTTCACTTTAATTTAATTGATCATTTTTCTTTGTCGGTCAATGTGTGACAGGCAGATCAATGAAATCCTTTTCACTAGGTGGCAGCAGATGATTATTTAGATTAAAACTAAATAAACATAATCAGAGTTGTTGAAGATCTTTCTTCAATTCCTGCCGGTTTATAAACATTGTCTTCAACTCAACAGGAGTACATTTTTAGTAAATATAAACTAGAAAATTATTACATTTCATTACATATACTTTTTGTGAGATTTTTCCTGATGATAAATATGTGCTGTGGCTCAAAAAAAGGTTAAGAAACACTGTGCTAATCAGCTGGTCCTTTGCATGCTGACTCACCCAGTGTAGAACTGTCACAGGGAGAAAATAGTATCATTTCTCCTCCAAACCTGACGATGAATCCCAGCTGGGTGGAGGGAGGAGATTGATGGTTGGAGCATCTGTACGGGCCTCTTCCCCACAGATGGTACCTGGTGTGTTCGTCAACAGCCAGCAGAGCCGCAGACCACGCCTTAAACCTGGCCTCATCTGCTGCAAGACATAACAATTAACCCCAATTAATCATGTTTCCTTTCACTTTCGTCTTTGTTTTCAGTAAATTGAACATCTCAAACACAAATGAGGTCTGTTTACTGTGGAGGAGCTGCAGAGATTAGATTGGGTTTTTGGATGTTTGCCTCGTTTCCTGCCCTCGACTCTGGGATCTCCTGGATTTAGGATCATTTTGTATATTCTATACAATTTGTATAAAAAGTGCAGCTATTGATTATTATGTTCATTGATTAATCCACCAATGCCAACCACAAAATGTAGCACACAATAACAACAACAATCATCTCTTCTGAGCTTATTTGCGATGATCCCGGCGTCACATGCGTCACAATGAAAAAAACAACAGCGGAACTCATTTTTTAAGCGTCAGCTTCGGATCAGGACGATTGTAATCGAATTATTTTCCTGATCAGTTAGAGTGATCATTGATTAGTTGTTACAGCCGTAGTGCTGCTCCGCTGTGTCAGGCAAACACATTTCCTGATATCATCATCGGTGGCCAAAACAATGAGGAGTTGGCTGAGGGTGCAGTGTAGCAGAGCGGCCCCTGGTGGGCCTCATCCTGCGGGATTGCCTGCAGGTGGACAAAAAAAAAAAAAACATAGGCTGCAGATGGTGCATAGCCTGGGCTGGAGGAGGGAGTCATGGGTGAAGATGGACAAGCTCACAATGACTGCCCCCCCCCATCTCTGATCGACCCACATGATTCCACTCTTACAGACGGAGCTGTTGGCTGGAGACAAGGAGGGGGAGGAGGGGGAGTCATCCCTGCACAGCTGGGTTACAGCATCGCAGTCTGGGCCCCCGGGGGCTGGGGGGGGGGGCAAATTTTCTTTTAATGGAGGACAACCACTCATCATGACCTCAGCTTTGGTCTTTGCCCGTGTGGTTCAGTCTATTTCCCTAAAGCCCTGGGCTGCTTTTCCTTTGTGATGATGACTGCGTTCACAGTCTGCTTCTCACTTCTGCTTATTGGCTGCTGTCAGCGCTCGAACCACAGCCTCAGAGCGCGGCCTGCCAAGTCCATAGTAGGTCATTCAGAGCTGGTCTCAAATCAGTCTTTCTACAATACATGCACGTCTGCACTTTTACACCCTGCATCTCTGAAGAGGGAGCAGAGCTAAAAAAAAAAAAAGAAAAAAAAAGGAGAACTGTGGTCGATGTCAACAGATACTGTAGCTGTGGCTGTGGCTGTTAGAGGCCTGTGAAATGTGTCACCATCAAGGACTAAGTACAGAAACAGACAGATGTACTGGTTGTTGTCACCACCCACACATTTGCATAAAATATAATTACAAGTACAATGCAATATGAGCTGCTTCATTATGAGACAGTGTATATATATATATATATATATATATATATATATAAAACAAGCCTTTTGGTTTGATTAGGTTTCACTAGATTAATTATTTCCTCTAAATTGACCATATGTCCATTTGTTTTTGTGTTTTTTTCCCATGATGTCTATATACTGGCGTATAAATCGACTGGCAAATTGTCAAGGGTGTAACCCCGCCTTCGCCCACTGACAGCTAGGACTGGGTCGAACACCCTTGTGACCCCTGACAAAGGATTAGGCGGTAGGTGATGAATACATGACCACTGAGCCGAAACACACAGTGGGCTGGATCCCACTGAATGAGGCCCAGTTGACCAGTATTGACTTCATAGGACAGGAAAACCTAAAGGGTAGGTACTGTATGTACCACGTAACAAAGTACAAAACCTGAGGTGTACACATACAGTAGTACATCTGCAGCAAGCAGTTCATGTTGCGTTCTACTTGTAATATCCTTTTGAGCACGTTTACAGAGCAGACACTCGTGTTTGTTTGTTTTAGTTTTTGACTACAGGCCCATACTTAACTTGAACCTATTTATAGTTGTGTAGTTGATTACAGAGGATAAATATAATGACGTGGCTATAGGTGGCAGTAGTGTGTCTTTCTGCTGCAGCCCTTCATTTAGGTGGAACAGAATAATTAAAAGCTCTGTGTTTGTCTGTGCTGTGAAGCCCACTGGTCTCTAATTACTGTGTAACCCAGAGAGGATTTGGACACACACACACACTTACACACATATATGCACACAATGGCTGTTAAATCAATACATGTCTCATGGTGAAATCACTGACGTTGAGGACAGAGCCTGTTCTGTTTTCATTGGTCCTTGTTGACTGTTTGAATAAATGCTGTCCATGTCAGTTTTGGTGTTTTAATTGCAGACAGTACCAGGGCGTGGTAGCACAGAGCGGTACTTTCATGTCCCATATATAAATATTTATTTTTGATGACTAAAGAACAGACTCAACATTCATAAGGTATATCAGTAGCATGTAGCATTTTAACACGCTAAAAATCGTCACCAAGATAGTGTCAGACAAGCATTATCGTGGTAACACTGTCTGTAATTACATGTTGCGTTGTGTTGACCTGCTAGCATTATAATCTCTGGGAATACAGATTTAATTAGTGCAGTTGTTGACTTGGCCGTTTAACATTTATTACAAAACCAGACGATGTTCCTGTTCAACCCTCGCCTACTCACACAGGAATCCTCTCCTTAGATACAAATACACTTTTCATCTAATAATAATAATAATAATAATAATAATAATAATAATAGTACCACATTAAAATATTAGGCCTGGTGTACTTGTATGTCAGTATTTGCCACAGGGACACGGGTCTGATTTCAGCCCCCAGTACCACGGTCTGAACAGGTCACGTGCTTGATATTCAACCTGAATCCACTCCTTCCATTTTCCCTTCTTCCACTCTCCAGATCTGTCAAAGAACCGGCTCACAGAAATCCCCCCAGAGGTGTGTCTGTTCGCCCCGCTGGAGTCACTCAATCTCTACCACAACTGCATCAAGTGCGTCCCAGAAGCCATCATCAACCTGCAGATGTTGACCTATCTGGACATCAGGTGGGTCTTCACCCAGGACTTGACATGATGTTTGCTCCTCGTTCTGTTTCTATGGATAATTTACCAAAAAAAAATTAAATTAAATAAAATAAATAAAAGAGAGAAAAATGGAAGAGCTTATCAGTCACGATGTAAAAGAGAGGAAAATGGAAGAGCTTATCAGTCACGATGGCGCCCTGTCTGTTTTCGTTTTTACCCTTTTATTCTGGCGCCTTTAAATATAAATAATTCATAGATATTCCGCCGCTTCATCGCAGCCGGTTCGTACTACATGCGTTTGGCGCCACCTACTGGTTAAGGGGGTAAAGCTACATGTTCAGCGATAGTCAGTGTTTAGGAATACAGAATAAAAATATTAACAACACATTAAAATAGAGTAAAATAGTCTTCGTTCGTCATTATACCGGGGCGGTACAACGGAATTACCGGACACTGTGACCGTTAGCAGCAGCTAACCGCCATTTCTCTTTTCTTATCAGTCGAAATCTTCTGTCAGTTTTGCCAAAATACCTGTTCAACCTGCCGCTCAAAGTTCTCCTCGTGAGCAACAACAAGCTGGTGTCCATCCCGGAGGAGATCGGCAAAGCCAAAGAACTGATGGAGCTGGTGAGGAGTGTTGTTTAAACGTACTGCACGAAGACGAGCCCATCTGTTACCATCTGTTTCCCTCTACCTCCCTCTGCAGGACGTGAGCTGTAACGAGATCCAGGTGCTGCCATCTCAGGTGGGGAGGCTGCAGGGCTTACGAGAACTGAACATCAGGAAGAACTGCCTCCACATGTTGCCTGAGGGTCAGTCTGTCAGCAGTTATGTTTTATTGCGTGTTCTAACTCAATTATCGAATACAATAAAATTATTTTAAAATAACTTTATTATTACCCTATATTCTGTACACTGTTGTTAAAAGGGAGGGAAAAAGAAAATAAACTAAATTGAAACGCATATAAAAATGAACAATCAGATAAATAAAATCACTATTAATGTACCAAATAAAACCCCAACTTTTTTAAAAATTACTTATTAAAGCCTTATAAATGTCAGGGTTTGATGACATCTAATTGAATTGATTACGGGCATCATTTTCACAGCCTCAGTCCAAAACTAGCATCATTTCAGGGTTTCTACGGGCTACTCAATAGATATGACACATTGGTGTCATATCTAATGTAATCATGTCATACAGCTCTGTCTTGTCTCTGCCTGCAGAGTTGGCTGACCTGCCTCTCATTCGACTGGATTTCTCCTGCAATAAGATCACAGAGATTCCTGCAGCTTACAGGAAACTCCGGCAGCTGCAGCAAATCGTCCTCGATAACAATCCTATGCAGTCTCCACCTGCACAGGTGTGTGTGTGTGTGTGCGTGTGTGTGTGTTCTTGTACGTTGGTTTTTCCAGTTTGTGGTTCTTTTGTCTTCACGCGAAGAGTCTAACACCATGTAATTATTTTATTTCAAACTTCGTTATTTCTCAGATTTGTCTGAAGGGTAAAGTGCACATATTCAAGTACCTAAACATCCAGGCCTGCAGGACGGACAAGAAACCAGACACACTGGATCTTCCTTCTCTCAGCAAACGCTGTCTTCCACAACCTCTGACAGACAGGTACCGAGAGTCGTACCAAGAAGGACTTCGAATTCATTCCACAAAAAAAATGTGTCCTTGAAATGCTAACCCTAATTTTGGTGCATCACTGAAGTGTGTCGTTTAATTCTTAAATTACTAAGATAACTAAAGAAACCTGTGGGGGCGCTGTGGTTTGGTTTGTCTGCAGCATAGAAGACTTCTACCCCACTAAGAACCACGGACCGGACTCTGGGATCGGCAGCGACAACGGTGACAAGAGGCTGTCAACAACAGAGGTCAGAGAGTTCAGCCTTTACCAAACACTCAACACAAAGTATACACTCGTTTAAAACTTCTGGTCCGGATGTTGAAGCTCAGCTCGGCTGTGTTTTAAAGAAAACTGCATAGACCACACATACACCCCAGGTTCTTTGCCAGTTTCGTAAATCGGCCGGATTTCCAGCACAAATATCTTGGCCAAGTCTCATCTTATCTCATGTCATCGGGAGTTGAAATGTAAAATCAACTTGTGATTCCTCTGCTCTCCCACAGCCGTCGGACGACGACACGGTCAGCCTGCACTCCCAGGTGTCGGAGACGGCCCGCGCCGACGCCCTGTCGCTGCTCTCTAAAATGGACTCTTGCAAAGGTTACACTCAAATAAATATCACATATTTGCTTTCAAAGCCATAACAGAGACTCAGAGGGTTGTTGGAATGAAGTGCCTGACACGTATGTGAGAGTTGACGTGATGAACGTCGATGCTTCCTCCTTCTATCAGATCAGGATCTGTACGACTTCATAGATCCGAACCCCGACGAGGATCCTGCTCTGTCAGAGTGTGACGGGACGCAGAACAACCACGTGTCCTGTATAAAGGTATCTGTCCATCGGTGACTCATGGACCCGGGCGTTAATCTGACCTCAGATCAGTTCATGCTAACACTGTGCGTGTGTTTGTGTTTGTTGCAGGAATTGGAAAAAGTTCTGAATATGTCTCAGTCCAGCCGAGACAAAGATGGTTGGAAGGAGGAGTCGGGGTGAGTCGGTGTGTTCATGTGGTCTTCAAGTTTTGAAATCACCATGTTTATTGTTTCCTATTTCTCTGTAGCCAGTAATGAATGAAAACAAACCCAACTTGCCGTGATACCAGATAAAAGTTGGCAGAAAAGAGCGCTTCAAAAGTGAAAATAAACAAAATATGAATTTAATATTTGTCACGCAAATGAACTGAAGATAACAGTGTGCCAGGAATGACTGGAGTGAACTGTTGAAACGAAAGTTCACCTCAAAGTTGGCCAAAATACAGTAGAACAAGAAGTCAAGGTTTGGACCACATGTACAGTAGATGAGCAGTAGCATTACTGCCACCTACTGGCCTTAGTTTACCACTTGAGGACATTCCACACAGAAACACTAAAAAAAGCAAGACAAAAGATGTGAATCAATCAAACAACAACAACAACAATAATAATATATATAATATAATATTATGTAAAACATATGCCGTACACATATTCCTCTGTATTTATACATATATAAACGTAAATATATAACTGTGATATGCATTAGTAAACACAAAAATGTATTGTAATATAATATATATTGTAATATAATTTGTATGGAAGTTTTTCCAACTTCCTTTGTTCATCTTGTGAATCCAAATGTTATATTTATGTATTATAAATATATACATATATATATGTAAATACGTAAATACTAAATCAAAGAGTATTTACAGTATCGTTGAGTCAGAATATTGGAGGAAAGTGTTTCTGAAGATTCTTTGGGGTTTTTGAATCGTGACATTTTGAATTGTTTCAGCTCCGACAAGGAGCAGCTGGTGGAGGAGGAGGACGACGAGCTGAAGGAGGTGCTGGACCTGAGGAAGATCGCGGTGCAGCTGCTGCAGCAGGAGCAGCAGAACAGGTGCCTGTCCCACAGCAGAACAGCGTCAGGACACACTCCCACTGCTCTGCCACATTTTCCTTGATGCTTTCTACCTTCCTCTCCATCATGTGACACGCTGACCTCATCACGCCCCCTGTCTGTGGCTTCATTCTCCACGTTTCCCCTCGTCCAGATAGATGTGTTTTTGTTTTGTTTTTTGTTTTTGTTTTTTTCCCATCGATGTTCCATCAGCGCCACGTTGCCTCTTTTGTTTCCTTTCTGCAAATCAAACTTCAGTCTTACTTCACGGTCTCTCTCTGTCTCCTCACTCCCGTCCCTCCCTGATCATCTCCTCTTCCCTGCTTCTTATCCCTTTCGACTTGGCCACTGCACATTTGATGTACGGCTTCTAGACGGCGATCGTTAATTTGCAGAGCAGAGAGTCTTATTCACCGACGCAGGGTGACGGGCCGCGCCCACAGGTCAGTGACGACTGGAAAGATGGGATTTCAAAAATGTGTTAAAAACCAAGATCAGGCTCGGGGGCCAAATAATGAAACATGAACAATGAATATTAATTTCTTTTTTAAATATTTATTATTTATTGCTAATAAATATTGATTTACTTTTTTAACTTTTAGCAATCAAAAAAAGATTTTTTTGCTATATATTTCTTTTAATATAATTTAAGATTTCATTATATATTGCCTTCCTTTAACATTTCAAAAGATTTCATTATATATTGCCTTCCTTTTGGTCACATGGCTGGAGTTCAGTTGCTCCGCCTTTCGACCTGACTCTCCGTCCTCCTGCAGGTTCCTCAGTCACTCAGGATGCTCCAGCAACAAACCCAGGCCTCCACCTCAGGCCGCTCGAAGGTACGGAACAAATGTGCTGATGAAACTGAAACCTGTGTTGACGTTAGAGCAAACAAATGTGTGCGACAGCAGTGGTGAAACCAACCAGATCCACGTGGCCCCGACAGTATGACCATGCTAAAAAAAATGTCCCAGAGGACAGAGATCTTTGATCCTTAATGACCAGCTGTGTGTGATTCATGTGGAAACTTTACAGCATTTTAGAAGTCACTTCTCTACTATTTTATGATTTCAGCTAACTCTTATTAGATTTTTATTTTTTTTAATTGTTATTATTTTTAGCTTTATTTTAGTTCGCTGTTTGTGAATATTTTTGGCAAGGGTCGACATGTAGACCAGGGCTGTGGTGAGCACTTTGGCTAACCTTTAGAAAGATTTAGCCTTTTTTTACCCCTTCATACTCCGCTCAGTAGGAGTAAAAACAGAAAATTCTGGGGAACTCTGGGTGTGGACTTCTTCCTCACATAAGGGTTCTTGGCAGTGAAGAACAGGATGATGGTATGGTGGCTGTGGTTTTCTACTGTAATAATAGACATTAATCTCCTCCGGTGGGCAATTCAAACACCTGCGGGTAGTTTGTGAGGCCGTCTGAATGAAAACCCAAAACGAACAAGCAAACAAACACAGCTGCTGAATCTGACTGTAGGAAAAAAACCCTCATCAATCACAAACGGGTTTGTTTTAGAGTTCAGAATGTGAACCAAAAACCTGAGGGTAAAGGAATTAAATGTGATTCATTCGTTGTATCCTCTGCAGTGATGCTGCCCTCCGCCTGTATTTTCTCAAATACAAGCAAATGGTTGATTCAGACCCTGTAGGTGGCAGCAGTGGCAGGTATGAGGTGATGAGCTCTGCGTCAGGAAGTTACCCGAGCCGATGCGTTTAGTTCACATGTATAATCCAATCCCACAGCCTTTCACGGTCCATGTGGTCCACATTAAAAACTAAATCTTATGGCCCACAACGAGTTCTTTCAGGATCAGTCAGACAGGTGCTGCTGTTTTGTTGTTTTTGGACTTGTGTTTCAGATCAAGATAAAGTGAAACTTTAGTGGGTTTTTCTTTCAGTGCCTCCTTGGATGAGGGAAGCAGTGGATCACCGGTGCTCAGTGGACAGGTACAAAAACAACACCTTCACCAACACTGTTGTTTCTGGAAGATTCTGTGAACTTCTGTGAACTTTCGGGCGTCTCTCTTCACAGCCCTCCTCTTCCTGCTCCTTCGATGGTGGTCTGAGGACGGATCAGTCGGACTCAGAGCCAAACTGGCCTGAGGTTCCACCTGTGCTCAACCAGAACGAAGATCGAAGGAGGACCAAGTACCTGAGGAAAGACTATCTGAAGGTAACGACACTGACCCGTGACTGATTTCATCAACACGACTTCCTTGATTTGCCTTTAGCTAAACTAGGTTTGGCTGCTCAACTGGGCCGCCGTCCTCGTCCGAGAGCACGGTACAAACCACGTACCGTCAAATGTTATAGCTATAAAAAACAAACATTGCTGCAATGCACTCCAGGCTGTGTCCCGCTAACTATTAGCACACTGGATAGCAATGAGCGTATGTAATGTTTTCTCTAGGACACTGGAGGCATCACTGTCCTTAGCTAACACACATATATCTTTTTTTCTTCCTTTTTCCTAACAGTACAAGTGTCAGAGCTCTCGTAAAAATTCCAACGGGAATGACGACTGTGAGGTTAGTGTGGAAAAACAGCTGTGAGATGAGAACGTGGAATTATTAAAATCCTGTAACAACAAATACTGATTGCCATTCAAATGTATCTGACAGGACGGCTTACGAAATAACGAGTTCAGCTCCACGTTGACTGTGTTTGGACTGAAGCCTCGCTCAGGTAATTATCCTTCTCTTTATTATCCTCACACAAACGCTCTGTTCACAGGGTGTGGTTTTATTAGCCGCTGCACTGTACCTGTTGTTTGTCTTCCTCAGTAGATTTCAGTGGTTTGGTACATTTGGTTTTGATTCTGGTTTCGATTCTGATTTCATATCCGCAACCATTCAAAGAGAAGAGCCATATGGTTGAAGTGAGCCGTGAACCAGATCAAAACATATTCAACACATTCAGACCTTAATCGTTATCCACATGACCAAACACTGCACAGCAATAATAGAAAAGCAACCAAATGTTTTCCTGAAAAAGTGTTAAAATGACTTCAAGACAAACATTTGTTTTTTAGTTTTAGAAACGAGCTTAAGAAAAGCCATCATCATCGATCGACAGTGGAAACCTGGCATGAAGCCTGGTTGAGGTGTGTGCCGATGAACTGGTGTAAAAACATGTTTGTGTTCCTGGGAACTCCTTCTGAGATAATGAACATTGTCCTCAGCCTGGTCAGAGGAAACCAAACATTGAGAAGTGGAGTCTCAGTAACCTTTGTGCGAAGGTTACTGCAGGTGAAGGACAAGCTTTAGCAGGCCTGAGGAAGTGTTTATAAGATTCTTTAAGATGCCTTGTTCAGGTTGAACACTGAATGTGGCTGAGGAAGGAATTTGGAAGCTGCTGATCTTGATCTCTTATATAAATGTCACCACTAGGGATGTGGCGATCCATCGTAAGTCACAAAAGCGTGACAACGTGAATCGGGTAAAATAAGAAAACACACTTTTGCACAGTAGGTGGCGATATGTGCCTAAAAACGGTAGGTGGTTCGAACAGACACAAACAGTGTTTTCCAGTGTTTTCCAAGAAAGGAACTCGTTCTGTTTCATATTATCATGTTTATATTCTTTCGCTGTTTAACATATTGACAGTTACCCAGACCTGAATGTTTACAGATGTTGTTTTGAACTAACGCGGGGTCAAAGATTCCACACCAAGTCATTTTTTGAATAAAAATATGTTCAAAAATCTTTAGGGATTTAAACGTGTGTGTCAGAATATTCATGCATGACATACGTTTTCTGTGTGGGTGTGACCTCTGACCTTCACGTCTTCTCGCAGCCTTCACCAGAGGAAGCCGTCAGGAGTACAGCTCCACTGACCCCAGCTTCACCATGAGGAGGAAGATGGAGCACTTGAGGGAGGAGATGGAGCAGATTGGACTCCTACGACAGGTCGGGAATCACCTGCAGCTCATTCCAGGAAATCACAATAGTGTTTCCTGTTCTGTTGAATGAGGAGTGAAACACCATTCCCCTAGTGGTGATCTGGGAGGGTCTGCTGGCCATATGAATTTTGAAATTTCAAACAAAAATGTAAATAAATGCGGTGTGTTTAATGGATCATGTGTTGCCTGCCAAACTGGAGGCGGGGATTCCAGTGGGAACAGCTAGGTGGAGCAGTTTGACTAAATCCTGTTTAGACAATGATTCATTGATGTACATCTTGTTTTAATTCAGGTAGAGATGGAATAAGTTTACTTATCTGCTGGGGCAGATGTAGTCATCAATTCACGCTAACTTTCGGCAAGTTCTAGGACAGTGGGAGAAAACTGGAGATCCCAGAGAAACAAAGCAAGGCTCGCTGTAAGACAGTGGTTCCCAACCCTTTTTTTTGGATTGTGACCCCCATTTTAACATCAGAAATTCTCGGCGACCCCACTGACATTTTTGTAGCCATTGCAGCCTTTATCCAAGATGCGCCATTTACGCTGCATTTTATATGAACTCCATTTATGTTTGTGAAATAATACAGTTGTTTAAGAATCTGTCTTTAGACAGAATATTTATCATAATATTTCTGTCAGTTTTTTTTTTTAATATCAATTACTAGAAATTTCGTGCGACCCCCGTTTGAATTCCAGGAGACCTTACGTAGGGCCACAACCCCAAGGTTGAAAAACACTGCTGTGTTTTAGTCTTATGTAATGTGCAGATAATTCTTTTTTGCATCTTAAAGTGACGGCACAGGTCAAACAAATTCATGATGTGTTTGCAGAACATCGAGTCCAGACTGAAGGTGCTGCTTCCAGAAGATGTTGGAGCCGCTCTCATGGACGGTGTCGTCCTTTGCCATTTAGCCAATCACATCTGTCCTCGGTCTGTTTCCAGCATCCATGTTCCGTCACCAGCAGTGGTAAGCCATTTGAACAACACAACAAATAAAGATGTCATGGGGTAAACATGTTTTTGTCTCTCTTTCTACTTCCTAATGTGACTCACTTCTGTTCCACAGCCAAAACTCAGCATGGCTAAATGCCGCAGGAACGTTGAAAACTTCCTGGACGCCTGTAAGAAGCTCGGTGTCACACAGGTAATGAAAACCACCGTGTTGTTGTCATCAACAACGCCAGCTAACAGTTATCTATCTGCTAACTGTAGCCGACTGATGGAGACACACACAACGCTGCTGTGAAAAAAGACGAAAAAAGAACAAAGAACAAAGAACAAAATTGAAAAAAAAAAAGTTTTTGTTTTTTTGCTGTTGACAATTCCAAGAAGAGAGAAGCTTACAGTTTTTTTGTTTTTTTGCTGTTGACACTTACAATTCCAAGAAGAGAGAAGCTTACAGTGGATTTGGCTGTGACATTCACTATTGTACTTTATAAGGAGGTGCCAGGCAGTGCATGTAATTACATGTGTTTGAACAAGGGATGCTAAAACAGTGTTTCCCAATATTCTTTGAGCCACAGCACACCACCAAAAAAAAAAAAAAAAAATCACACAAAATGTATATGTAACGAAATATAATAATATTCTAGTTTAAATTGACTTAAATTATACTCCTGTTCAGTCGAATACAATGTTGATATACTGGCAGGAATTGAAGAAAGACACATAGGTCTTCTTCAACAGCTCTGATGATCTTTTTTCAGTTATACTAACCTCCTGCTGCCACCTAGCTGAAGAGGGTTTAATTGCTCTACCTGTCACGCATTGATGAACATAATAGTTTTGGGACCAATTAAGTGAGATTGGATTTTGGATTGGATTTTCAATTTGACTCTGGCGTCAGTCAGACTGTCAGTGGTAGACCGACTCACTGTCCCTAGCCGGGCCACGGACCTAAGGTTGAAGCCTCACCAAACACATGCTGGGAGTTGATGATGGGATTTGATGCTTGAGTTGGTTCAGTGAAATGAAAACGTTTTCCCACAGTGTGTGTAAATGACATCATGTATTAGAGCAACCAGAGGTAAATAAGAGCAGCTCATTTATGAAGTAAAATAATCAATGATTATTTTCACAAATTAATTATAGAGCATATTTTGTTTAATTTGTGCTGTACTACTCCCCTGTCACCACATGGGGTGCCTTTTCTAACCCCAGGACAAGCTGTGTCTTCCTCATCACATCCTGGAGGAGCGCGGCCTGGTGAAGGTCGGAGAGACCGTCCAGGCTCTGCTGGATTTGCCCTCGATGAAGTCCACGCCGCTGTCGGCCGTGTGACACCGGACTGAATGCACTCATCCTGCCAAGTTCTGCCCTTCACCACCATATCTCCACCACCACCGACTTCACCAGGGACCCCAGGGACCAGGGAGCCTTGTTTGGGCGAGGACCCAGTGGAGTTAGCGCCTGACTGAACCAGGAGACGAGAACCAAGAAAAAAAAAGGTCTCTGTCTTCTGACATGATGTCAGATCCACTCCCTGTCCATCTCACCTTCATCAGAAAGCAGCGAGGAGATGATGAACATGGATCCAAATCTTTCAGGCCAGAATTTGCAGATCAAACATCTGCAGAACGGTGTGTCCATGAATTCAAAGTTCGCATTTTTAATTGCAATCGATTTGGTGCCCAAAAAAAAAAACAAAAAACTTTTTCCGAGCTTGTTTTCCTGGACATTTTTTGCACTGCGCCTGAGTTTAAGTAGCCAACCCTAATTTGCCAAGTGGACAGTTTCAGTAACTGCACTTCCTTTGCTTATTAAAGGAGTATGCAAGATTGTCCCCTCCAGGGGGCAGTCACACCACGGCAGACAATCTGTTAACGCACCTTTTCCAACACATCAACTACACATGCACAAACACCCAGCATGCACCAGGGGAGTGACGTTTAAAACAACTGTGAAGGCAGCTGGGCTGTTGCCAAATGCAAGAAAATCCTATTTTGTAGCATTTTTTTGCAGTGTTTATGACTTTTCTACTGTTTTTTGAATTTTCGCTCTTCCCACTTGTTGCCAATTGTTTGCTGGAGTCGTGAGAGTGAAAAAAATACACTAAGGTATTAGGGCCTGAGCACCGATGACCAACAAACACCCAACAGTGACAGTAGCATCGTCAGGAAGTTCAACTCAAATCGGTTCTGGTTTCGTGTGTTCTGGGTCCAAACTTTCTGTTTGCTCAACAAATCTGGAGAGAATGTGTCTCAGATAAAGTCTGTTTTTGTTTTTCTTCTTCTTTGAAACGCCCATCAAATGGACCTTGGGCATCTCCTAGGGCAGTGGTTCCAAAAGTGGGGGGCGGGCCCCCCTAAAGGGGTACTGCAGGGCAAGTTGTTTCCAATTTCAGTATTTTCCTTGTTTTTCTCCCATTCTGAAAAATGCACTGACTTGTAGTCCATTAACTTTGTTCTACGAGTATAACTTGTTGACTCACTCATAAAACTTTGTCAACATGAGGGGCCGGGGGCGTCAGTGGCCCCCACCTACAACAGCTCAAGTCAGCTGGACAACTGTTCTACAGGAATTTGTTTGTCACTAAGAGAATTGACCTGACTGTGATTAACACTGCCCCCACATGGCCCAGCAAGGTATCGGCCATTTTGTCTCAATTGCGGCCTAAACCCCATTAGCCTCATATTTGAACGTCAGAACCGTTGTTAGTCTCTCTGTGATCCTTGGTGAGTTCTGGTGACACTGTGCACCCTAGTGGTCACAACCGTCACTGTCACCGTCACTAGTGTGCACGCCAACACTGTTTTCTCCATCAGGGATGAGATCTCACGCTCCGACATGTTTGTTTGGCGGAGTCAGTGCTGTTATTGGCTGTGTTGCAATCAGACAAGAACGAATGGCTCCTGAAGAAGCACCGCTGTTAGAGACAGTGTCTCCAAGACGTCAACACCTCTAATGTGTCTCAGTCTCAGGAGAAGGAGAAGACGATGATTTTCCTCCGTATTCTGGTGGTTGATGACGTAGAACCGACTGAAGAACCGCACCAACGTTGTGTAGACGGCAGGCTTTAGTCCCACCACCCTGTGATCACACTCTCAGATGTAAAGTATAATGTAGTAATGTATGCGTTGGGCGGACTCTTGATGCTGCTCCATGGTCCAAACCCACCACCTGGTGGAGCGGAGAACGCCACGTCCCTTCTGCTGTAGGATGAATATTCTTCATGTCAGGGAAATTTGTTTTATTTTATTTTTTTCTTCTTCTTTTGTATTTAAATGATCCGGTCTGTTTTAGTTATCTTTTATCGTTGGATGCAACGTGTGTTTTTTTCCAGAACACTTGGTGTACATTGACTGTGCCGTCCCGGTCCAGCTGTGAAACCACAGGAAAACCTTTTTTAATATGGATAAATTATAAGGGCTGTAGTAACATTTGGAACAGTTTGTCCAAAACATCCCCTCTGCCAATGGCTGCGTGCCTAGTACATCTCCAGTTGTCAAACAAAACCGACTTCAGACAGAATCTGAGAGTTTTATTCTCAGACCCAGGAAACAAAAACAGAGAATATGTTCATGCTTCAAGAACTTTTTGAACAACTCATTATTTTTTTTTAGAACTAGAGCTCTTTGTCACAGGCCAAGACTTGTCATTTATCAGTCGGCAACAACACAAGAAAGGGGTTCAAGGATAGGGCAAAAGTCTGTATTTGGTTTTACAACTCTTGATCTGAAAAGATGCGATCGAAGTATATTAACATATAATAACAGGCTAACTAGTCCAACAAGTTCCCGATCTTTTTCCCCATCCACGGAGCTTGTGGAAACTCATTAGGGATCGTCAACAGAGAGCTCAAGAAATCTACCCGCAGCTCTGCGACTTTGGCTTTGTTTCTTTAAAATGAGGAATGAGATAATAAACTGGAAGAACACAGGCTGACTCACACTTTCCTGGACATTTAGTTAAAATAACTGCCAGCAAAAACAAATGACTTCCATATTTATAAACACGTGGATGTGATGCACGACACCAAAACTCTAGAGTCTAATCAAATGATGAGTCATTACTGCAGTAGTCAGAGGTCTGACTCGTCGTCTGGCTACTACGCTGGGGACGAAATTCCACCTTAACGTAAGTTCTTTTTAAATTAAATTTCACCTAGACATTGGTTCAACACCCGTCTTTATTAGCTATGATTAGCAGTGAGAGGCAAAGCGATTCTTTGCCTCTACCGAGTTTTCGGGCCAACATGTTTTGAAGGAATCCAGAACTTATGAACCTGACTTTAATCAATTAAATTACATAATTAGGTTACACTTACATTGGCCGCAATGCTGCAATGCTGCACATTTTTTAGTCAAAAAGCTACGACAAAATCCAGGCAAGCCAAAAAATTCAAGTCAGATGTTTTTTTATTTGTTTTATTTGTTTTTTTATTGCAGCCAACAATGTGTAAATATAAATTTTAAGATTGCAGCCAACAATGTGTAAATATAAATATTTTAATGTTCCAAAAACGAACAGAAAGCGAATAAATAAACAAGGAACTTTGCGTGCACCAAACGTATTTAATACTGGGTGTCCTGCAGGCCTATAATGGTTTATGTTTCAAGAAGAAAGAGCATTGTAAGAACCTGTTTGAGGTTCGGGCCAACTCGTGTGCTCTACCGCATCGTGAGAACCTCAGCTGTTTTGAATGATCGTGTTGCAAAGATCTGATACTTAATTATGTCAAAGTTGTAAAAAAACAAAAACAAAAAAACCCTCAAATGAGCTGAGGCTCACTAGGGGCCACTAGGGGGTGCAGTAGTGGATGGGTCACATCAGTCATCTGTATCCAATACAAAAAACAATTGAAAATAAAACAAATACAAAATCCTCGATAGCAAAATTAAATCCTTAGTGACATCTAGCTGCAGGCCAGATTTGCAGGGGTATGCGGGCCAAAAGTGGACCCCGGGCCATAGGTTTGGGACCTCTGGTGTAAAATATGCATCGCATCAGCAGTGGTATTAGTGTTGGGTCAGATGTCAGAACATGTTAAAACAGCAGTGCACTGTGAAACGACACCTAGTGTTTGTCCAACTACAAACTGAATGTGTGACGTCGACGACACACTGTGGGGAAACTCCACTGTCATGACACTGACACTGTGAGACTGTTTTGTAACCGTTTGACACGTTTCACTGGAATCGTTGCGAAGGGTTGTTCATAATAACAAGTCATTTGTTGAGTTTCAACATGTATCAAAATGCAAAACCGTGATGCATACAAACATCTGTGACATACCAGTGTCATTATTCACTTTAAACTATTATAATAGGTCAGGTCATTTGTGGGAAACCCAACCCTTGCCTTGTCCGGTTTTCGATAACGAAACCGATTCTTACTGATATCACATAATTATGCTAATATCGTCCGATAATATCGGTTTTTGCCAATATTATCGGACATCCCTACACGGTGGTTCCCAAAGTGGGGGGCTGCCCTCCTAAGGGACTGGGAAGCTATTGCTTTGTGTTATCGGGTTTTCATAATTGTAAGACAAACATTTAACGATTATTAACGATATTACATAATTATGCTAACATTGGCCGGTAATATCGGTTGGCCGATAACGATTCCTAATGACATTACATAAACAATTCTATCGGACATCCTTACACGTTGGTTCCCAAAGTGGGGGTCTGCCCCCCTAAGGGGATGTGAAGCTATTGCAGGAGGGGCAGCAGGGCCAATTTTGTCATTTTTATTCATTTTTTAAAAACAATAGCAGTTTTGTAAGTTGTTTTAAATAAAGTATTGTGCAGATTTAAAGCAAAACCTGTGGGGCGGGGCTCAACAAGAGTCCGATTGAACAAAGGGCAGGAAGGGAATCATTATAGGTGCTCGGTAAATACACAGATGTTTTTCTGTTATTGAAGTACACAGATTCTAGTGCTTATTTCATTTTTTGGAAAGTGTACCAACGATGTGGTTTTATCTTGAAACAATCACAACATGAATCCGACCTGTTCTGTGACTATCTGTAGTTTGTCCTCACTTCTGCAGAACACGGTGGAATAATGAGGCACCGCACGTTCAAAGTCAACACTGCCGAAAAAGAAAAACTCATGAACAAGCTTTTTGTATTTTTGGATCCAAGTCTGAGTGCATGCAGAGAGACTGAACTGCTGAACTGACTGTACATTTCCTGTGTATAAACTCCAGGCTTTTCTTATCAAACAAATATGTGGATAATATAAAAAACAATAAAGTCAAATTCTTTGCAGGTCCATGTGTCATGTTTTTATTCTCCCCAGGTTTTAACCCCCGTGGATGTGTAGACCGTCTAAGTCATACACGGCCAAACTATGGCCTGGGGGCCAGATGTGGCCCGTTTGGTTTTTCAATGTGGCCCGTCAAACTTGTCCAAATTATAATTGTAAAAGATATAGATTATCACTATACTATTCAGCCTTTTCCCTGAAAGACCCACATTTTCCCCAATAGATGGCGCAGAAAAGGCTAAAAGCGTTCAGCATGTTAGCCTTAAAGCACGACTTTCACATGTCATTTATCTTAGTTCAGACTTCTTAGTTCATCATTCTTGTTCCATCAGTCTGCGAGTCAACAGTTACCTCCCCCCGGGGGAGGTATGGCTCTCATCGCCAGAAGTCTAGTTTATATGTGATTATGTTATAATGATTGAGAAGCTAAGATGTTCCAGATGATTCGTTTCAGTCAGACGTCAAGTTTATTGTTTTGAATTCTAGTTATTTTCTTCCCTGAAAATGCAGCTCTTTTCTCCCATTTTCCCAGAATTGCCAATCTGTGGTATGTGCATTTCCTGCCCTCATTTCTGAAGAACTTGAAAACCTCTTATTATCCCTGAAGTGATGGTGAAGATATGACCTGGAGTCAGATGTCTGTCACAGTTTTTTTTTTTTCTTGATTGTCTGCTCTGATTTTCTGATTATCTGTAAAATAATTCGTCTTGAATCTCAATGACCATGCCACAGCTGTGATGTGATTCCAAGTGAAAGGATCCCATTATACTGGGCACCAGCACAAACCAGTTACACACAGCACCAGTGATGTTGCGACATCCAGTAATTGTAAAAATGAATCACTTCCACCTGGGATTCTCCTTTTATTTTGCAAAATTATTACTGTCAATATCTGACGTAATGTAAGAATTTTCTTAAAAAAATAAATAAAAAAATCAAGAATAAATTATGTTGATAGTTTTTAAGTTCTTAATGATTCAGATTAAATTCAGGAATAAAATTTTTTTTTTTTGTACTTAGAGTAAATTGACACCTAGAGATTCACAATTGCCTTTAACCATGAATTTTTTTTAACAATTACAGTGTTGAACTTATCATTATATATCATATCATTATATATCATATCATTATATATCATATCATTAGCATTAACTTTTAAATGGCTCTAAATCAACCAAGAGAGATGAAAAAGCTCAGATTTATCAGCTTTGTAATATATTTATTAGTCAGGGTTTTATGTGCCTCACAACTCCCCCTATTTTTTTTGAATGGCATTTAAATGGTTGACTCAGCCCACAGCAGATCTCAGTCTCCACTTGCCTGAACCTGTTGCAGACGATAGACGCTCTTTTATTCAGGCACCTTCATCAAATCTGGACCGTATCTCTCAGTTTACTGTGGAGGTTTTTTCTTTTCTTTTGTTTTTTTTTTCTCTCTCTACAGGAATGGCTATGTTTTCTCATCCGGCTGCACTGATGCTGCTCTTCATCACCTGCAGGAACATCCAGCGCTGCATCACACTGAACGGTTAGACACTTTTCTTTTAAAACAGTCTGTTAAAAGAATAGAACGGATCCTTATTCAGATTTTCTGCATTTGTGGCACACTTCAGGGTCGGATGATACAAGGAGTAGTCATCAAACCCAACTCCAAATTCTCAATCACTTAATCTTAAAAAAAAAAAAAAAATTTTTTTACCAAGTTTACCTTAAAATTCAGAATTATGGTAACACTAACTTAAGGCTTCAGTGTAATTTTGTCTGTCACTTGCCATTTGTCAGACAAACATACCTCTGTGTACCTTTTAAGTGTTTTAGCTTTGCAAAAAAAAAAAAACTTCAAGAGCTATTATTTTATTTCCCAGAAAAAAAACCATAACGTATTTTTAGCTGAAAAAATGTCAAATATTGTAGTAAATGTACTTTAGTAGCACTAGGGTCTGTTCATGGTCAGGTTTGGTGGGAACAGTTTTCTTTTCACCTGCAGTGGATCCTCCTGAAAACCTCAGGCTCTTTGACCCTGGACATCTTGGACATTTGGAGATGACATGGAGCCCCCCCGCCAGTCTGACCAACGTGACACATTGTCTGAAACTCTACCAGCTGGAATATTTCAACTCATACACAAACAGTTGGACAGTAGGTATCAACCATGTAATTAGCGAGGAACTAGAACTTAGCTTCTTTAAATATTTACATGCTGAGACTTGCTGTGGGATTAGATAATAACAGTACTTTTACAAGAATCTCTATAGTCACGAAATGATTTCCTCCGGGCCTTTGGCTCTCATCAGTGGAGGAAAAACAAAAAAATACCAATAATTAATAAATAATTACTGCCAAAAATGTTATAAAAGCAGTTCAGAACATTTTACTCCCTCAGTGTGAAGTGATTCTGCCTCCACTTTGGGCTTTCAAATCGTTAGCCATGGCTAAGCTAGCTTCTGGCTTATTTCTTTTCAGCTACCGCCTGGGCAAGGTTTGAGCTATACATTAGCATCCGCCTATTTCCTGACTCGTTCTTCGCTATCATTTAGCAGTATTCACTGTTTACTTTTGAATTTTTCCTGTTCTATGTTCTAAAATGACATTCAGCTAGCTCCTTGGCTAATCCTTAGCCACTTTGTTCATTTTTAAGCTTTCTCTTTTTTTATAAAATGTGCCAATTTTCCTAAATAGCTTTTTGCTACATAATTGCATGTATTCGTTAGACTAACCTTTATCTATATTTGTACTTCCAGTTAGCACCGTGTCTACTCATCGGCTGTATTTGACAATTTTCACCCGTCTTGACTCGTCTTGATGCTTGCTCTTTGTGACATTTAGCATGTTGACAAGGTCTTAGTTAGAGTGTCTTCATTTTTTTTTCTCCCCTGACTGAGTTGCTTTCATAGTAAAACATGGGTTAATCTTCAGAGAAACAAAATCAAATGGGCATGATTATTTTTATAATAAAAGACAGATTCTTTCACGCCCTTCACGATTCATTTGGTATCGGGTGTCTGACTGATGATAGAGGTCTGAGTTGCATTCAGGCAGGAAACCCAAACAGATGTTTTACCATGTGTATCATAATAGTGACTGAAGTTGTGGTTGCCTCAAGGAAAACCTCATACAGTAAACAAAGATAATAACAAGGGCAAAAGACTTCCATTGAATTGCTGGTGTTTTTACAACAGAGAAAACAAAGTGAACAGTTTCATTCTTCAAGTTATCAGGCCCTTTAGGAACAATTAAAAAAAAAAAAAAAAGATGAAAAATCTTAAAAAAGCTTAAAACTTCACACGTCTTTTAGTTCTGATCAATCCTGGTGTTTCTGCACCGACAGGTCATCAGGACACCAGGAAGATCCTACAGCGCTCAGTTTGACCTGATGAAAGACGTCGAAGTCAGAGTGTACACCGTACTGAGGGGGCTCTGTACCAACGGCACCACGCTGATGAGCTCACACTACGCTGAGGTGGTGCAGAAACCGTCAAACACAGGTCAGACTGTCAGGTGGAAAAACCAGGACGTGGCCACGATCTTCACACATTTTGAAAAAAAAAAAAAAAATCAGGTGTTTTTTTTTTGTCCTGCAGGTCTTAAAAATACAAGAGTGAAGGATTTTAATTGTGTCTTCTACAACATGGAGAACATGGAGTGCAGTTGGCGAAGTCAAAAGGCCAAGAAGGCCATCTCAAAGCAGCATCTGTATTTTTGGTACGTCCAGAAAATGCTACAGAAAACTAAAAATAGTTTATGCACAAAAAAAATCCCATGGAAAAGCACCAGACAAAATGTCGCAAAGAGTATTCGTGATGAAGTGAAATGATGTGGGTGTTTCAATTTACTCACGATTGAATAACTCTGTGTGTCAATGCCCAATTCCAAACAAAATTAATAGGAAATAATAAATCATTGTTTTCACACCTGGCAGACTGGCTCTCACGACTCAGTGGCGGTGAATCACTGCCCTAAATATTGTTGCTTCTGTTTGACAGGCATGCGAAAATGGAGAGAGCGGAGGAATGTCCAAAATACTTTAATACAACAGGAGGACTGAGGAGAGGTTGCAACCTCACCGAGAAGCAATTGCCGGATTTCACAGACATTAACTTCTGCATAAATGGTTCTATTCCTGGGAAGATCAGACCTACATTTTTCTCGCTGCAAATCCAAAACCATGGTACATGCACTTCTACCAGCTGGTAAAAGCTTCTGATAAAACCGTGATCCGTGTTATATTCAGTGAAACATAATGTTTTGGATGTTTTACCATGGTAACTCTAATGATCTGTCACATCGCACTAATGTACCATAGACCAGTTCTGATAATGACTAGCTCAGACCTTTTGTTATTGCTTTCCTTGCATATTGTTTTTCACACGCTGCAGTCAAGCCTGCGAAAACAAAGACTCTCGATCTAAGAGAAATCCATGACGCACAGCTATTGTTTAAATGGGTTCCTCCACCTGGAAATGTTCCAGTACACTGCCTCGAATGGCAGGTGGAGGCCGGACCACAGGGACCTTACGGGAAAGAAAAAAAGGTATCGCTCAGTTTTATTGTCTTTATATCTTCATTTATAAAACACTTCATGTTCACGTCCTTCTTCCACAGAGCCTTATAACGGAACAAACAAGTCTGACTTTGGAAGTCAGTCATGGCTCCAGGAGCACCTGCGCCAAAGTTCGATCCAGGCTGCACAAGTACTGTGTAGATAAGAGCATTTGGAGTGAATGGAGTGATCTCAAATGTCACCTGGGTAAATCTTCGACTATTTTCAAGTACAACTTTGTAGCTGGAAGCAGCACAGGAATGTTTGCTCCTTCATAAAGAATAAATTAATTCCACTAATATCTATATTAGATATTTTTAGATTTCAATATTGAAGTCTGTCCAAAAAAGACCGCGACGATACTTCTTCACGGTAGCAAAAAGAAAACTGTATAAGGGTTAGCCTGAAAATAGCTCAGAATTAGCAAGAAGTAAAATAAAAAAAAGATTATTTTTGGCTAGATTTGCTTTAAAAAAAAAAGAAAGAAGCTAAACCTCACATAAGGCTAGAGATTAAATGTTTAACGGTTACAGAGCAACAAAGAAAAAAACAAGCTCGGGTGAACTTCAGAAAATTAATCGTTAATAGTTCAGAAACTACTATTAATTACAGACCTGTATACCGGCCAAGATGGTAACAACAGATAAGCAGAACGATCAGAACATTACCAGGAAATAGGTGGAATTGGTTAGCCGACTAGCTAGTTAGCTAAAAGATGTCAGTGGAGAGATATGGAAAATATTAAAGCTAAAACTGTGCAGGTATTTTCCAACATTTATCTCTAAAATCTTGTTGTTAACCTTACGGGATTTTTATAAAAGAACCAACAATTTTCAAACAAAATAGATTTGTCATTAAATCATTTTGGGTCGTTTAATTGATCATTTGTGTGTGTGTGTCTCCTCACAGTAATGGAAGAACCGGAGGGGAACCATAACTGAACGACTCCACCGATCTCTCCACGCAGTTCTCACAGTTTTGTTATCAACTTTACAGGTCCTATATGCAGCACAGCACAGTTTGGAGTAACCTCTCTTAGCGCCACCCGGTGGCCAACAAATGAATCAAAAGTATGTTTTGTGTAGGTGTACATGTAGCGAGTTACCTCAAAAACGAATCCTCTGTCTCAAACATTTTTAAAGCAGGCAAAACTCGTGTATTTGTAATATTACTGCGTATGTGTATGTTAAATAAATAATAATAATAATAATAAACAGTATCCTCTCTCCAAATTGTTTCAAGTGTCTGTGTTTCAAAGTACACGCCAAAACGTACAACAATTTCGCAAACAAACAACAATAAACTCTTAATTTTAAAGCTAGCTTGCGGCTACCCAGGAGATAGCTATCTGCCAAGCCAATAATTTCCAACATTACGATGCCAAAAGTGGTTATCAGATGCAGCCTGGGACATTGGGCAATGTCACTAATTTCCTTTGAAAACTATAATTAAAGTTATTGTAAATCATTTGTCTGGTATGTTAACGTGTTTACACCGAGGCAGAAAATAAATTTATAAAGTACCAAAGTAACGAACTTCAATACGTTCATTTTGTCTTGAAATGCGGAAACTGGAAAGAGAACCTAAGAGGCAACAGCATCACCTTGCGGTTTCTTTTGTTACTACAACTCCTAACCTTAATGTTAGGGCTTTACTGTCCATGTTTAATTGGTGCCTTTGTGCAGTTCTACAGAACATATTACTATCAAACACTTCCGGTTTAAATTTGCATTTCAAGTCACATGACACACGGATTTTTTTTATGTTATTTAGAAAAAGTTTCATCACAAACAAATTAAGATAATAAATGTTTGTCTTTTATAAAACGTCAGTCATATTTAGATAAGAAAATACTGGAAAAATAGCAAAAGAATAACTATAAGAAGACCACATATTCAGCTACATGTGAATAAAGAAATTCAAAAAAATAAAAACAAACAACTGGCTGTGACATTTTAACTCAAATGAACTCAAATCTGTTGGTCAGATAGAAAGTACAAAGAAAAATAAAGAAGGGAAATTATAATTGTAGAAAGTTTAAAAATCATCGCAGGTGTTTTTTTTTAGTAGAAACCTTCGACAAATGTGACTTTTCGAACTTTTGATCACCGTTGACTGTGAGACATCAAACTGGATCTGGGATTTCATGTTTACGTCCCGGTCTTTGTTACATGTTGGGAAACCAACCACCTGACTCCAACCCCGCTGGTGTTTACACTTTATCGGACATTCAAGGACCGGCAAGGTCAGTGAGCAGCTGACGGCTTCCCACTGCAGCTCCAGGCCTGGACTCCCACGTCTGTGGACCCTTCCATGTGGGTCAACAGGTCCTCATTAGACCCACAGACACGACTTCACTACTGGATTAAAACTAATGCATTTTTTTAGAGTCAGGGTTGAAGGCGACACCAATTCCATTGGCAGAGTTGATAACTTCCTGTTCCTCTTCAATGATCCATTCCATCAATAATATTCAGTATTTCTTATGACACACCCACTACAATCACATGACACACCTGGTATACAGTAACATGGGTCAGTGATTTATGTTTTTTTTTTGCTGTTAGCAAGCAAGCTGATTATTGACATGTTTACAATTCTGCCCTAAACTGGTGGATTTAATCAGTCATGACTGTTCCATCCTTTCACGGACATCAACTGTGATCTTACAGGGAGCTGAAGCAAAGAGGCTAAAGAGCCACATGTGGCCCAGGAGCCGCAGGTTGCACACCCCTGGTCTCTGGGCAGAACTCGTACTAATATGGTCTGCAGGTTTAGACAACGCAATTCTGACAAACACGGGATTAATTCAGCATCAATTTGGTCAACAAAACGAAGCGCAAGACGTTTTCTGTATTTTTCAGCTCAGGTTTTTCTCTCGTCGTGGGTTTTTATCTGGGCCACAGCCACGGCAGGAGCTGATTGTGCTGATTGTGCTGAAGAAAGAAACCCTTTTAGGGTTAATATGTAATTTTGGTGGAGCTTAGCTCCACGCAGGACTGGGAGCAGGGTAATGTATAGCCCAGGTGTCACTTCTCACTCCATTTATCTCAGGACCAGACCAGGAGCTGCTGCACGGCCTCAGGTCAGCGTTCACACTTTTTAGATTCTAGATTTAGTCTCGGTGTTGTTTCCTCAACTCGACTTTTCTAAAGAAAACTAATCATCAGAATTTATGATTATTTAAAATGAGTCAGGATGTAAACTTTGAAATTTGAAACAAGCTCAACCTTTGCTTAAATATGCTTAAATATACCGTAAAAAAGTTACTCTTTTTATGGCTATAGCTAAAATTACTGCAGTATAAAAAAAACGAACTGATAAAAGCAGCAAATACAAGGGTTTGAAAAGGATTAAACTTAGAAAAATCAGGAAAAGATAAAAAAAAAGTAAATTAAAAATTTGACAGTAAAAAAAAATTAAATTAAAAAGGTCAACTTAAAAAAATTAGGAAAAGATAAAAAAAAAAGTAAATTAAAAATTTGACAGTGTGAGCATTACAGGTTCAAACGTCACGACCAGATGTGCTGAGGTTTGTTGTCAAGGCAACAAAAACTCCAACTTTGTTGGAAAAGTTAATGAGCTTCTTCGTCTTCGTCTTCGTCTTCGTCGGCGAGACTGGGATCCAACGATCCTTCAAATCGACCAACCAAAACTGTGGAGCATCCATCTCAACCAGGATCAGGATATTTAACATGTAATGTGTATGTAATGTTGTATTTTTTTAAATGTATTATAGCATTAGTCAATAACAATATTTAACCAAACTCAAGTTGTCTTTCCAGACACCAGGACGTTTACGTCTGTCCTCTGGTCTCAGTAACTGGAATCTGTCCCTGCAGAGTCAAAGTGTGCAGGGCCTGACTGGTTACTGCACCCAGGGGTCAGCTGACCTCCCAAAAACAGCCACCCTGCAGCGTCTGCACCGAGCACCGCCGCCTCACTCTGATCAGGACGAGCTCTGAGTCACGTCATCTGGACCGAATTGTCTTCTTCTCTTTCCCCCCGCGGGCACAGTGAGCTGGATGTGGATTCGTGGAAGATGTTGTAATTTCCTGAGAATTCTTGGATCAGAGATAGAGAGAGAGAGAGAGAGAGAGAGAGAGAGAGTATAAACGCAGCAGCTGCAGCGTCAGCTGATTCAGTGACCTGGGAACGTGGTTCCGTCACATTATAATAGAGTTCCATGTTGTTGTTTCCACAGAACGCTGGATCCACCTGCAGAACACTTGTCTCCCCAAGTACCAGTACATGTACAGTACAGTACTATTACTCCATATACCAGGAACACACACACACACACGGAAAGCAACATAGCCTGCAGACGAAGTTTCAGATTCAGCTGAGTACCACTAGAGGGAGCTCAAGTACCACCCAGTGTACCCACACCACAGTTTGTCATTGATTCTATAGAATAAATAAATAAAACACAATGATGACAGATTGTTTAAAAAACTTGTTTTTTTTTTCATTTTTTACTTTATATTTTCTACTTAAAGGTACATTTTTCTCTGATAAAACTATTCACATGTGGTTTTCACCTGTCAAAAGTTCACGTTAGGAAACAGATGCAGTACTTTAGAGGTACTGTAATACTGTGTGTACAAGTGTTTTCAACGTAGGTCCATGTATGTATGTATGACAACACTGCCATTGCGTAATACTGAGGTCTTCAACGGTGAAGCTGCGACTTCTAGAGGATTTTAGAGGTACTGCAGGATGCAGGAGGTCTTTCTTTTTTCTTTAAAAAAAAAATTACATTTCCCCCCCACAAATATAAATATGTGAACCTGTGTATAATTGAACAGTTTGGTGTTAAGTGCCCAACAATGAGGTATGTGTTCACTGGGCAGGAGGTCTGAGGTCTGAGCTCTGTCTCTACCTCAGGTTCAAAAAAACATTGACCCCTGCAGTAGAGGCAGCTCCAAAGACCCTCGTGACTTTTGACCTCTGACCTTTAACACACACCAAAGTTAGAACATGTTTCATTTGAAACCGTGATATTAAAGAACAGAAAGCGAAGTCAGTGCAGGGACACACCGAGGTGGAACTAGAATTACTCCCCCTCTGTTCAACACATTTAATCTTCTACTCTGTTTAATTTACTTCACTCCTGGGACAAACTGAAATAATGCTTTCGTTTTTGTGTCCACCCACTCTGCTACAAAACCAGGTCACCTCCGAAAAACTGTCCCCAAAAAATTCCTGGGAGGTCGGGGCTATTCTAGGACAAGCGCTGACCTGGCACCTCGCTCTTTCACCGCCATCACGCTGTCCACAAAAGCCAAGCATGGAATTCACGTGGTGGAGAATTTGTCTCTTTACCACAGCAGGGAGTTGTCACACCGCTGCTGCTGCTGCTGCCACTGCTGCTGCTGCTGCTGCAGCAGAAACTATTTACCCCCAAAAACATTCTCAAACCAGCTGTTGCAGCTTCAGGTCTGTGTGGAGTGAAAAGAAAAATGTGTGGTGGGAGATTTCACAGCAGGCTGCTCAAGTGTGGAAGAGCCTTCTGTGCCACACAAAACACCCCGGGACCGGAGGTAAAGAAAAAAAATAAAAAAATAAAATAAACCACAGTCATCTATAAAACATGCATAAATAAACAGCCTGGAGTCAAATGAAGTCTCCACAGTGGATCGTCTGCCTCCACTCCCACCCACTGCCGACATCCAGGAACAGTCTCCACGATCTTCATCTTTTCTTCCTGGTCGTTTCAACATCTTTGTTTTATTATTATCATCATTTATTGGCATCGATGTCCAAACATTTTCACTTTGCCTTCACTTTCAGTTTAGAAAGTGTTTTTTCAGGATTGGGTTTAAAGTTATTTCAAATGATCAACTCCTGCTTCCAGGGCGTGTAGTGCTACTGTTATTTACTATTGAGATCACTATTTAAAAAAAAAAAAAAAAAGTGGGCAGTGGTGGTTTAGGAAGTGGACTTGGGTCCAGAATGTTTCAGGTTCGAGTCCACCAGCTGCCAAGTCGCTCTCAGCAACACAATGACAAGTAGTTATTTCTCTAGATATCAGACATAAATCCTAACCTTTCCTATAAAAAAATCCAATAAAAATAAAAAACACCACCAAACCCCAAAACCCCAGCACAAACAAACACAACATCATCAGGCTACAACATCAACACCAAACTGAGCTGCAGTCCAGCCTCTTGTATCACCTGCAGCAGCTGACGACCCTCAGCTGTGGGCGGACACACAGGTGGAGCTGATGGAGCTGATGTGGATCAGCACAGCTGAGCTGAATAGATGCTGATCACTGTGACAACACTAGTTCTGTGTCCATGACGCTGGTGTTTAACGGCTGAGGCTGATGAGGCTGAGTTCTCATCATCTGTGGATTAATCAGGAACATTTCACACCTGACGTGTTGTTCTGGATCAGTCGTAATGAAGGTGAGTTTGTTACTAACGTCTATCTCTGGGAGGACACAGGATATTTCACACTGTCAACAGCTGCAATAAGAAAATGTCATTTTAATTAGGGCTGTCAAAATTAATGTTGTTTTTGCAATAAATAACGGGTGAAAGTAATTATAAAAAAAACGACCGAAAATATGACATTGAATTTTGTTCTACTGCTGTAAAGTTTAATTTCCTTTCACCAAACGATGAAATGACTCATTAAAAAATTGAAAAAAATATAACAACAATACAATATTAGGGATGTCCGATATTAACTTTTTGCCGATATGGTCCAAACACTTCACCCGCAAAATACTATTAAGGGCCTGGTAATATTTATTTGTTTATCTGTACAAACCACTGTAACAGTCACTGGCACCAGCATTCTGCATACAATCCCCTGGTTGTAAAAATAAATTAATAAAATGAGTTGCAATGCTGCCATCTAGTGGCCTTCACCTTCATATACAGCAGTTTTCCCCCAAACCTATTTTTAGAGCAAACATCATTTGGACAAACTCAGGCGAGGTGTTTTCGGGTTTTCATTATCATTTTTTTCCCTCCGATAATGAAAACCCGATTCTTCCATATATTACATAATAATGCTAATATTGGGCCAATAGTATCGGTCGGCCGATATTATCGTACATCCCTACATAATATGTCAAATGTAATTCACGAATCCAGAAATCACAATGAAACATTAGACGACCCGCTGTTCACTTTAGTCCTGTGTTTTTATTTTTTATTTTTTTATTTTAAATAACATGTGACACTAACATCTTCATCTACAATAACTTACACTCATCAAACTCCCAAATCTACAGCCGCGTCATTTAATCTGGATTATTATTAGTAGTATTATTCCTCTTTATACACATTTACAACACAGGTTTCCAAGCAAACTACCAATCGCTGCTACTGTAGCGCCAGCGTATTTTACAGCCGTCTACTTTACACTTCTAAGAACAGAAGGCTTCGATTCATACATACACTAGTGTGCACAAGTCGTTACGTACTCGTATTTCTAAAAAAAAAGAAAAAAAATTACGTTGAATCTGATGTCTATTAAACTTTTAGAACATAAATATGTTTAGATTAAGAGGTGTCATTTGTTTATTAATTCTGTGGTAATCCTCAGGAATACTTTTCAAGTTCAGGATAAAATGCAGCCCCGAACTATGACGGAATTACGGAGGTAAAAAAAACCCCAAAATGTTATTACTCTAATACTGGCTTTACTTTGTTACTGACTATACTCCCAATGAGTATATATTATATATTTAGACTGCATGTATGTAGCATAACGCAGGATTTCAGGATTTCAGAGTTTTTTACCTGAAAGTGTAATAATACTATAAATACACAAAAAAGCTCGTCATCATGTAATGCCTCAAAAGCGAAAAAAAAAAAATTAAAAAAGGAAATGTCGAGATACTGAATTCATTTCAAACGTCCCTCCATCGTGCGATCACAATCCCGCTGTCTGGTTTCTCTGGCACGAGAGAAATGCAGGCGAACGTCCAATGAAAATGTCCGGCACTGGAGACTCCGTCTGGTCCACGACACTCTGCGCTTCGTCACCTCGCTGTTGATAAGCAGCGAGGCCGAGGTGTGTGTGTGTGTGTGTGTGTGTGTGTGTGTGTGGTGGGGGTGGAGGTCCCTTTCAAACAACCCTGGCATAAATCAGACCCACGAATGTTGACTAAAAATAACAGAGCGGCCGAGAGAGAGGGGAAAACAGAGTGGACGGGGGGGGCGGACGGGGGGGGTGGAGCACACCTCCTGTGTGTGCATCTGCGTCTGTGATGTGTGTACTTCCAGTAGAGGGCGTGGTGGCAGAGGACTCAGTACATGGCGTCCTCGTATATGTCCGTCCGTAGGCAGAAGAGGATTCCTGCTCCCAGCATGAAGATGGTGGCCCCCCAGCCCAGACCGTAGCCCCAGTTGAACTCGTGGTACGTCTGGAGAACCGTTCCATCGATGAACTTGATGGGGAAGAGGACCAGAGCGCAGGCCTGAAGAACCACTGGAACAGAACAAACAAAAACAAATAAATGAAATCAAATTTCCTGATGCAAATGACTCTGCAGGAACAAAGTGGTTTTTAGTGCATTAAAAATAGGACCTGAGACGAGGTGTCAGAACAAATCTTCCCACAAACCCAGCAAAGATAAAACACCATCAGTGAGGGCGTAGTAAAAACGGAACGGGTGTCAAACAGTGTGTTTAAAGTAACTGCTCTGACCAGACAGGTGCTATTTATACGACGACTTCTCTCTGGTGGATTTATGAGTCTGCTGCACCTCTGGATGAAAGGATTGAAAATAAATTACTTAAATAAATATTTAATGCAGAATTGTTTAATAACAAACACGTAAAATATGCAGCGAGGGAAGGACGAGTGGAGGGAAATAAAAAAAGAGAGTGAATCAAGAAGTGGAGAGTGAGGGAAAAGGAAAGGCCGTCTCCATGAAGATTAAGCACGGAGAACGTTGATATCCTCTGAAGCTCTGAAGCTATCGCTGAGAAGGTGTGGAGGATGTGCTGCACATTTTGAAAAGGAAAAAAAAAATCTGCAGCCAGGGAAAGAAGATTCGTGAAGGAAGTTTCTGTCGGTGAGTTTTGTGAGATGTTTTGATAAAAAGCAAAAAGATGATCAGAAGAAGTGGCAGAGAAGTACGTGAGGGTGGTGCAAATCAGTTTGAGGTAGTTAGAATGTTCAACCTCATTATCCCCAGGTAGCAATATGTTTTAGGTAGCAGAAAATAATCTGCAATAAATAAGACATCCATCCATCCACATCTTAAAGAAGTGGTCATCATGTTTGCAGACGACACCGTAATGTTTCCAGCAATAACAACTGGGTAAAATACTTCTAACACGACCATTTTTATTATGTCCTCATCCAAATGTAATCATTTCTAACAAAGTTTATTTTGAACAATGTGACATAAAACACTCGGTGTAGACACGAGTGTGTGTGGACTGGAAGTCTCAACATTTTTAAAAACATTCTTTCCTGAGGAACATAATGTGCTCGACCCAAAGTTTTCTTTTTCAGTTTGAAGACATCCTTCAAATGCGAGGCTTCCATAAAAAGACGGGGCTTTGAGAAAACAAATCTTTCCACGACACGCACGTCTCCCCGTGGATTTCATGTTCGGAGGGAAGTTAGGAGCCTTTAATGTGGCCAGTCTTTCCCCCCTCATTTTTGACTGACTCGAACTGCACGTTAACCACATTCAGAAGCGAAGGCCGCGCAGACACGTTGAGTCCTTGAAAATGCGGGACAGTTTTCCACGGATCAGTGGACAGTTTCCGAGTTTTCAGTCGGCTCTCAGTAATGACACGACTGTTACAGCGTCCGTGGCACCGCCTCGTCCCTAACCCTCGACTGTCGGTGACACTCGAGGCGGTCGAGGAATGTGTCGGCGTTGACTGAGCCCAGACTGACGGTTGAGCCGCACTGAGGTCATATTTCTGAACAGAACAGAAAGGAAACGGCACACAACCACTGACTCCTGGCCAACAGGCATTTAACAAGCGGCTCCTTCTGCCGCTCCACCTCCTGCTGCTGCTCCTTCTGCTGCTGCTGCTCCGAGGAGCGTGGCGTGTTCCTGTATGGAGACCTTGTTCACTGCAAGGCTCTTAAAGCAATTACGCACAGGAAAGGATAACACCGCCTGCCCACGCTCCTGGGTAAAAGGGGCCAACAGTCAAAGCAATAACCATTCCACTGACAGAACCAACTGGTCCTCAATGAATTACGTTTCCGGGAACAGGCCAGAACAAAATCTCCTTTATGTCGGCCTCAAATGTTCTTCAGAGCTACGACGCACAGCTTAGCAATAAAGTATGTTTTAATATCTGCCGTCTTCGTCCGGTACATATAACAGCAGCGAGAAGAAAAGTGGAGCCAAAAACAGTTTTCACTCCTGAATATTAATCATAGATAAATGCTTCAGGGAAAAGTTCTCTCAGTCTTCAACAAAGAACGAATGAAACCTCACTCGTTCTTTATGGGATTTTCTTTTCTTAGTGTCCGATGTTCTGCAACCACAACCGAGTGATAACTTTCTATTGGCTGTTAAAAAAAGACAGTTTAACAAGACATCAAATAGTTTCAACTGGACAAATTAAAGTGTTTTTGAAAAAGGAACGCTGTAATTACTGCAGTACTACTACCACACCCCTGTCGTTTTTTTTTTTGTTTTTTTTTACACTGACGTGATGTTTTATTTTGGAAGTTGACAGAGTTGTGAGCGGTTCGTTTTTCCCGCTCCATTGTTGGACTCAGATAGATCCGTCTCCACAGTGAACGCAGCGTCCCCGTCTCCTGACTTGACTGTGAATCCTTTTACGTTTTAATTGCATGTTTCACACGTAGGTGCTCCATCAGCCGGGTGTCAGAGTGTGGGTTCAGCCCTGGGCTGGTCTCACAGAGGCTGCAGGAGAGTCCTGATCCGACTGGGAGCCGTGTGGAGAGTAAGAACTCTTTGCTTCCATGGTTTTTTTTTTCCCCCCACTCCTAACTTTGCTGACTTCAGTGAGCTCGTAGTTCTGCTAAACTCTGTGGCTGTGTGTGTGTTTTTTTTTTTTTTCTTGGCACGTGAGTCTTCAGCTCCCCAGACTCCACACGCCGCAGAAAATATGAGCTCAACCAGCAAACGTTATTCAGCGGCTCTTTTATTAAACATAAGAAACCACTGTCGATATGGAAATCGTTGAGGCCGCGCTGAACGTTTATGCAGTATGTGCTGTTTATTTCTTCTTCCCAGTCTGTGCGAGTACCATGTGCTACGTCCTTGGATAAATATTCATATCAAGCTAGCCAAGGCCTAGCGCATGGCGGCCTTGGAATTCTATCGATGGGTGTTTTAAAATGCCTCGAAAGAACAGAGAGTACACTGTGGTTTACTGGAAGTGAAACAGGAAAAGTGGACCAAAAGTTTAGGGTACTTCCTTTAAAGTTAGATAAAGTTAGCTACAAATATGCCAACCAAAAGCTAATTAGCTAAATTAGCTCAGAAAAAGCTAAGTAAGTAATGTACATTTTTGATGGTTAAATGAAAGTTCAATTAAACAACTACATGGCAGAAGTAGCTAAAAGGAAGTCAGCTACGTTTGTAAATAAAAGAACTGTATTTAGAATGACATGACAGATAATTTTAGATCATTTCACATTAGGACTCTGACATGAGGTCGTAGAGTTCGATGCCAGCTCACCTGCAGTGAAGAGAAACACAGCCACCGTGCGGTAGTGCTGTCTCTGCGTCCCCTGGCACAGGGAGACCAGGGCCGCCATGAAGGCCGCCAGAGTGGCCACGGCGCCGGGCACTACGCGGGCAACAGAACCTCCATTCACAGGAGGGAGGAGGGGGGAGAGTGAGCCGTTGAACCACTGTGCTGAAAAATATCAAAACAAGAGCTGATCCTAAAGAATGAAGTGAGTGAAGCAGAAGGTCAGCGTTGACACGCGAGGTCGACTCAGACAGAACTGTGGAACAGTGAATAAGGTGATAACGTGAACATCTGCCTGAACTGAGGACAACGGGAATGTTGATAGAACCACAATTATCAACAGGAATGCAGCCCCAAACTGGCACAAAGCCTTCATTAATTATAAATTATTTTTTCACTCCTTAGACATGAGCGAAGAAAACTATTTGACTGATGAATAAAATCCATCCATCCATTCATTTATCCATTTCTAGCCAAAGAAATTTAACAACAGTCCAAATCAAACTCTCCCCCTTTGTCCTGCTCAGCCTTTTCCATCACTCCATTCCTTATTGAACAAACTGCTGGTTAGTTCAGCTAATTGCCAATAATTGCCGTCGACGGTTAGGCCGTAAAAGGTGTTTTTCTTAGAGCCGGAGAGTGTGACGTTAGCGACTTCTGCCGCTGCTGCCAACGTCTCTCATGTGGATTCAGTTGGTGGATTTTAACAGAACACTTTTATTCTATTTATTACAAACAGTCGTCGCCACTGGAAAAGTCAAACTCATCTCTTCCAGTGCGTCACAGAACTGTTCCCAGGAAACGAAGACCTCCTGCACAGAAGTGTGTTGTTAGAATGTCGTGTTTTTTAAATCCTTCAAAAAAAAAAAAAACTCAGCTTAATGTTTTATTCAGAAAAGTCTCCTTCCAGACAGAAATGTATTCAGGATAAAATGCTTTCTTTTTTTTTTTTCTCTCCCTGCAGTGAATATTCCTCTTTGATGTCCCCCACTTGTCGCCGTGTGAGTGAAACCTCAAAAGACTCGACGCGAAAAGAACATTTGCATTTGATGAAGCAAAACAAGGTCAGTGAAGAATCTGAGGGAAGTGGGGTGAGGTTGGAGGGGTGAGGCGTTTTACTGCCTCCATCTTTGGTCCAATATAGGGTTCTACAGGGATTTATGACCATCGTTCCAGGTTAGCATTTTTAACTTTTATTTACTTTTATTTTTTAGTTTAATCACAATAAACTAAATGACCGTTCAGATCTTCAGGTGAGATCTCCACATTCTCACATGTTCCTATATCGGCAGAGCGTATTAAACCCTGTTGATGCTCAGCTTCAATGGGGTTTTTTTCACTGCAGGGCTAAATGCTAACGTTAATAAAAGATACATCAAATTCAAAGAAGCTGTGATCAGATGGGATCCAGTGTTTTGTGATGATGATTGAACAAAGTGTTGTTAATACGTTAAAATAACAAAAAACACCAAATAACTTCCAGTTTTTATGTCCACTTTAAATACAATTATCCTCTTTTCCCCAGTTGTTTTGACTTTTTTGGCGCAGAATTCATATTTAAACAGATGGGATTAAAAAGAGCTTCACCAATTTCACAGACCAGTAACCACCCACTGTTGTCTGGGTGATTACTGGCTTAAAGAAGAAAAAATTGCTTTTGTAAAACTCAAAATTTTACTCTGACTCTATTATTATTATTCAGAAAAATTCTGCCCAGCAGCAGGAAATCTGACAGCAGAGAATATAGATTTTGAACTGTGACAACCCTACAAAAAAAAAATATATATATATATATAATATACATTATTTTCTCGTGTCACTTCTTGTACAACAGTGTTTCCATCGAACGTTCGCATCCTTTCCTGAGGCTGGTTCACAGCTCCACCAGAGTGCTGGTTAATTTTAGCACATAGCCAAAAAAAGAAGTAGAAGTAGAAGTTCTAATGTCATTGTACGTGACGTCCATGAATAAGAAAAACAATCATGGCTGTAACAAAAGTCCGACCTTACAATCCATTATTACTGTAACGTCTAAGTACAGGCTTAAACCCTATTTAAATATAAACCCCTTCTGCCTTTTCGGTGAACTGCACCTTTAACCCTTGTACACCAACACAGCCGTCTATAGATGCTGCTGCTGCTGCTGTTTTTAATGAGCTCCACTGACAGTCAAAGCTTCAAACCCGCCTCCTATTCAGCCCAACACATTCCACAGTATCAGAGTGCACTCAGTCACAGTATAATCCTGTTCACCTCTTTGTGTCTGTGCGTGTGTGTGTGTGTCTTTGTGTGTGTGTTGGGGGGTTCGAGAAACTCACGTAACACACAGAACTAAACCCCTGTTTTGTGTGAACTTTGATTTCCCTCCAAAACGTTGTTAGAAGTTAGCAGGTTAGCTAACAGTGAGCTACAAACCTGCACTTTATCGTCGTTTGTTTCTTAAGGTTTTTTCTTAAGCTTGAATTTTATGTCGAACATAAATCTCACCGGCTGATAATTTGAAATTGTTTTTTTTTTGTTGTTGTTGTTGTTGTCAGAAGAGTTTGTTCTTGTTCATAAAATGATTCATCTTTAATGTTTTCCCCATAAATGTTGAACTTAAAACTAGCGTTGGGATATATTTAAAAAAACATCCTCATCATTATCATTATGGGCTTTGTTATTTATTTACTTCAATACTGATGTTATTTTTTCAACACTTTATTTTGTGTCTAATTTAAATACTCCAAATGAATGCATTAAAAACCAAATCTACTCCTGTCTTGTTTTGGGAATCGCATATTATGCATCGTTTTTTCTTGTAGCATTAGAATTGACTATATATATATATTTTTTTTTTTCAAGTGCTTGAGTTAGAATTGACTATATATTTTTTTTTTTCAAGTGCTTGAATTTCTCTGCAGTTTTTCAGCTTTAAAGTTTTTTAGTTTTTTTTTGTTTTTTTTTTTGTACTGCTGAGGGAGATCCCACGTACTGCACCAGTCACCAGTCACATTCTGCTTTCTTTAATTCAGACTTTGTTGCTGCGGTGGGTGTGGGATGGCGTGGGGTGTGGACACACTCCTGTCATGTGGTTTCTCAGCTTGACAATAGACAACCTGGTGGGTCCAAAGCTGGGGATTTGGATGAGGGATGGGGGGAGAGAAGGGGGAGGAGGGGAGAAGGGGAGATCCAAAAGCCTTCTGCTGTTACCTCCTCACCTCCCCGTCTCTGACATTGTATTTAGAAAGAGAGACGCTGACGGAGGGAGAAGAAGAGTCAGTGTTTGTACTGTTCCCTGGTACTGTTCACTGGTACTGTTCACTGGTACTGTTCACCGAGGGTTGAGAAATAATAACTGTGTGTGTGTGTGTGTGTGTGTGTGTGTTGTAAGCCGAGCAGAGCAACAGTGTTCTGGTCGTGCTGTGACACCACGTCACCGCTCTGGTATGAGCGAGAGGGAAATGTTTCTGCGGCAGAAGAAACCGTGGACAACCCAGCTGCTGGACTCAGACCAAAGCAAACGATGGACGGAGCTGCCCGTCCACAAACACCCCTCTTTGTTTTTCCTTCTACAATG